TTGAATTTCTTATAATTTATTAGTCCTAAAAATATCAAATTAACAGCGTTTCATATCAACTTTCATCAAAAATTATCGTATTAGCTCCACGGTGTGGGCTGCCGGGAAGTAACAATCGCCCTCACAATCCGAAATGCACACGAAACCTCTCTATTACTCACTCATCTTTGTCTTCATCTTCATCTCTATCATCTTGCCTTCCTTCCACTGATGCAACTCCTCGACTTGATAGCTCTCCACTTCCTCTCCACTCTGCGTCCACTAAAAACGATGGAAGCCAAAAAACCACCACCGACAGCCTCTTAAAGCCGCGCCACCAATTTCATATAGGAGCTCTTAATGTTAGGACACTTTGCCAAATAGGACAACAAGCATCACTAGCCAAGACCCTGGCATCACGAGCCATTGATGTATGCTGTGTTTCAGAAACACGCATACAAGACCCAAGTGTGGTTATTCACCTAACCCCACCTGGCCAACAGGTTGAATCTGCAAAATTCACCTTGAGGGTGTCAGGAGATGCCACAGCTAGTTCACGAGGATTAGCTGGCGTAGGGATAGCTTTGAGTACTAGGGCAGAAAAGACATTGCTTGACTGGATCCCGGTAGATAGCCGAATGTGTGCTGTCCGCCTGAACGGATCAGTAAGAAGGAGGAAGGACTGCACTACTCGCCGATGCCTTTTCGTAATCTCCGCCTACGCCCCCACTGACTGCAGTTCAGATGAAACGAAGGATGAGTTCTACCAAAAGCTGTCTAGTTTGGTGGAAAGGCTAAACGCTCAGACATAGTCGTTCTAGCTGGTGACTTTAACGCTCAAGTAGGGAAATTGTGTCAATCTGAGAAGGATGTCGGTGGCACCTATGGAGCTCCGTGCCAGCGAACCGACAACGGTGACCGTCTCCTACAGTTCTGCTCTGATAATCATTTGTTTCTTGTAAGCACTAACTTCAAACACAAGGAGAGACACTGTTTGACTTGGAGACCCCCTTCATCAAACCAACGCTGGACACAAATAGACCACATAGCAATAAGCTATCGTTGGCGTGGGTCGGTAGGAGATTGTCGCTCCTTCTGGAACACGTGCGTAGATACCGACCATGCACTGGTCCGCGCTCGGGTGTGCTTACGACTGAACGGACGTAGGAAACAGCTGGCGGTAAAACCATCACGTCCCCAGCTCGATCAGGAAACTAAATCCGTATTTCAGGAAGAACTAGCTAAACACATATCTGTGTTCGACAGCTGTGCTCACCCTGAAGAAGCTTGGAAAAATATCCAGGCAGCCATAGATACAGCTGTAAAAGCTGTGAATAAGGTAAACCCAAAGGTGAGTAAAAACCACTGGATCTCCACCGCCTCATCCGAACTGATAGATGCTAGAAGACTTATTCCGGCGAGCTCCGAATTCAATGAGGAGCGAAAGCTGCACAAGAGGAAACTTACGAAAAGTCTCCGCAAGGACCGTGAACAGTGGTGGGCGACAAAAGCCAAAGAGATGGAGAAAGCTTCGAGGATAGGCAACACCAGGCAACTCTTTACACTCATCAGGGAAACGGGTGGGAGAAGACAAATCATTAGTGAGACAATCTCGGAAAAAAATGGCACTATAATTAGCTCCCAGGATAGACGACTGGATCGTTGGAAAGAGCATTATGAGGAGCAGTTTAATTTGCCCACAGCCACGCTCAACCTTCCGAGCATCCAACACCTCCCTGAATGGGATATAGACACAGGTCCTCCGTCACTAACTGAGGTTACTAAAGCTGTCACCAATCTGAAACTAGGCAAAGCAGCGGGACCTGATGGAATGACGCCAGAGGTATTTAAGTACGGTGGAGACAGCTTACTGTCCGGATTAACTGAGGTACTAGGCAGCGTCTGGGAATCAGAAGAAGTCCCATCGGGTTGGTGTAAGTCACTGATTATCCCCATATACAAGAAGGGAGACAAGTCTTCCTGTGATAATCACAGAGGGATTAGCTTGACTAATATAGTATCTAAAGTCTTAGGCTCAATAATCATGCGTAGACTGAGTGGTGCTCGGGAAGCACAAACACGAGAGAGCCAGGCAGGCTTTAGACCAGGAAGAGGGTGTATTGATCATATCTTCACCCTCCGACAGATTCTAGAACATAGGCATTCCTACCGGCGTCCAACAGTCATTATATTTCTTGACCTAAAGGCAGCATTCGACTCTGTCGATCGGGAAGTTCTCTGGAGATGCTTGGCTGTAAAGGGAATTCCAAGAAAATATATTGCACTGATTAAGGCACTCTATTCGTACTCATACAGCCAGGTGAGGGCTTACGGCGAGCTGTCATCTGAACTGATGACGACCAGTGGTGTCCGTCAAGGATGCCCATTATCTCCTTTTCTATTCAACTTCATCATAGATGTGTTAATGGACTTAACCCTAGGTGACTTCAGCGACTCAGGAATTGACTTGCTACCGGGGAATAATCTCGTTGACTTGGAATATGCAGACGATATAGTCCTTCTAGGCGAAGACGCTGACGAAATGCAGAGTCTTCTAAACACCTTGAGCCGCAATCTACGAATGTTTGGCATGCGATTCGCTCCCGCCAAATGCAAGATGATGTTACAGGACTGGACTACATCGACGCCTAGTTTAAAAATAGGAAGTGAAGTGGTAGAGCACGTTGACCGCTTCACTTATTTGGGAAGTACCATCAGCCCCAACGGGCTGATCTCTGACGAAATCTCAGCACGAATACAAGGGGCTCGTTTCGCATTTGTTAGTTTACGCCGACTCTGGCGTAGACGAGATGTTCGACTATCGACCAAAGGGCGGGTGTACTGCTCATCAGTCCGCTCCGTCCTCCTTTATGGTTGTGAGACCTGGCCACTGAGAGTGGAAGACATGAAAAGACTAGCTGTCTTTGATCATAGGTGCCTGCGTTCTATTTCCCGTGTAAAGTGGCATAATAAGGTGAGCAACATGGAGGTTAGGCGTAGAGTTCTAGGTAAACAGGGGAAATCAATCGACGAAGTCGTGAAGCTACAAAGACTGAGATGGTTAGGACATGTGTTACGTATGCCAAGCCATCGCCTCCCTCGACGAGCAATGTTAGCGGATATAGGGTCAGGCTGGAAAAAAGCTAGCGGCGGTCAAACAAAAACTTGGCATCAGTCAATGAAATCCACAACAGTTGGTCTAAGCCACGTAGAAAGGTGTAGACTTCCAGGCTGGGGTCCTCGGGACGGTAAAAATCTATGGTTGGAAACAATTGGTGACATGGCTCAAAATCGTTCTCAGTGGCGCAGATGCATCCACTCCCTGTGACTTATGATCTTCAATGAAACTGTTTTGTATTTCTTTATTACTCCTTTGTCTCACACCTCTGCTCACTGTTTCTATTATGCTTTTCTTGTACTTTCTTCTCTTGCTTCGCGTGCTACACGGAATGTGGCGACTTGAACTTCCGCACATTTGTGCAAAGTTCTATGTCGAAAACAGACAGACAGACAGTATTAGCTCCACCAAAAATGGGCATATAAAAATTGTGTTTGTAAAAATATAGACGATTACGTTTCGTTTACCGTTCTGGTTGGGACCTATTCAGGGTAATAATCTGCAATGAATACCAAAGTTATATATATATATATATATATATATATATATATATATATATCCTTGTCCTCCATATATTAAGCGATGTATTTCGCATTTATGTAGGTGATTTACAGGAAAGCCTATCTGATTCATGCCGGGATCTTGAATCTAGTCAAAATTACATAGGAGCTGTTAGGAAAGTTTTAGTAGTTACACACTTAATGAGCAGCTACCAGACATGTTACCTTTAGGGTTTTCTTTCCTAATCCAACAAAATCGCACTCCATTGCTTGTAGCACATGTCAATAAGGTTAGCCAATCATCTGAAAGGTATATCAATATGACGATGCACAACCCCCGGGAAAAATCCTCGTCAATAAGTACTCGTATTTCTGAATATGAATAAATGTCCAATTTTGGTTGTTATATGTTAAAGATTTGATTGATAATTTTATCAGTTTGAGACTAGATATTGTGCAGTTGAGTTCGTTGAAAGAAGAAGAGTTATCCGATTGTACAGTTGTTGATGCCTGATTATTGCAAAGAAGTGTAGCTTTATCGATCATTTTTCAGGCCTCTAAATATGGGTTGAATATGGTCAGTCTATACTTTGGTTTTGTGTTTAGAAAAGGCGATACAATTTTTTTTACTTAACCTGCTTGTCATCGTTTTAATCTTTCGTAAGTTGTTCTCCTTACTACCTTCTACTGGACTTGTTTTGATTGCCGTGATTTCAAGTAATAATAGATGGAGAACAGGAATTTTACCGTATTTTGAAGTAAAATAACCCATTTACTTGCCATGTATGTGCGTGGGTGGCACAGCGGTAGAGTGCTCGCCGACCACCCAGTTGGTACAGGGTTTGATCTAATAGAGAAGATTTGTAGCTCAGGTGTATGATTTGCAATTAATAGTGTTCTCGGAGCTGGTTGGTTTAGTTGCAGAGCTTTCGTCGTCATGAAAAATTTAAATCACTTCACTTTATGCATAATATTGGGCTGAAGATGCTGTCCAGAAGGACTACGAAAGCTCTGCAACTAAACCAACCAGCCCAGAGAACACTGTTAATTGCAATCAGGGTTTGATCCCCGACCGACGCACTCCTTTACCTCACTAAGCCACTGGTAAGACTGGTAAAGAGGGAAGGTTGGCCATATGAGGTTAGCAACCTCATCCTGTAAAAATAATCACCACATCCACAGAAACTTCAAGCCTCTCGCTTGAAGGCGCTCTATGTTCCACTGGGAACGTAAAGGAATAATTAGAAAAAAACCTTGTCATGCATACCTTAAACAGTTAATTCGGATTTTCTATTGTCCTCATGTGGCAACATGATCTTTCTAACACTTAGGGATCCAACAATACAGATTTTTTTCCTCCGCTTTCCCTTCATTTCGTGTTAATTTCTTTAATTAGTTGAAGTATGCAGGCCGATGAATATAATGGAAAGACTGTGCTTGTCATAAATCATACTCATATGGTTAGCTGTTCCTCTGGAGATGAATTAAATCTGGATCCAGGAGCTAAATTCTCTTCAACAAAAGTGACATTTCACAAGTCAATATGGAGCAATCTAGTTGAAGGTGTTATACAATACTGTCGTGTTGTTTTTGATATATTTTCTACAGAAAAACCTGTAAGTTTCACTTGATAAGATTACCCTCAATTATCAAGATATCTATAGTAACATTTGATGATGAAGAAAAAATTCATTCTATATGGTTAAATGAAGATCAGAATTTGGATACTGTAAGTTGATTTATTTTTTAAGATTAATGATTTTATAAGATTTGGAATATATTTTCCCATGAAGGTCCTCCAAAAAGTTCTTCAACTAATCTTGATCTCAAATCACTTCCTGGTTTGTCTTCAGCATGTCATTTGTTACAAATGTTGACACCTCATCAAAAGGAAAATAATTGTACTGATAATAAAGGTAGAGTGGTTGTCCTAAGTATGTCTATGAGGTAATACTTCGTTCAGTTATGATAAAAATTTTATTGTAGTAATCAGATTAATTCGTGGATTCCAGATATTTTAGCAACTTTGGAAAAATCTGTCGATGCACCAGAGTAAGTTTCACTATGAGTTATATGTGTTTCGTATAGTTTTATCATTGTATGCAACAAATTTGTTTTAGATACCCATATGTTCCCAGGTCCAAAGAATTTGAGCAATGTATATTAGATTCATAACTGTCTTTTGTGCTTTGTTATTATCATTATTGCCTTGGGATCCGAGTGGGACATTGGGCTTCAGCATTACATCTCCACTGTGTTATATTCTTTGCTATCCTCTTCAGCCGGCCCCACGATCGCCAATAGTCTCTCATTTTGTACGCGATCTCCTCCATGTGACTCTGAGATATTCCACTCGTCGTTTCCCATTCGGGTTTCACCAGAGTGATGACCTGGCGCACGATATCACCCCGGCGGTCTCCTCAGCATGTGTCCGATCCATTTCCAGTTTCTTTTGCGTGTTTGCTGAGCAATAGGTTCTGGGTGTTTGTTCCTTCTCAGAGTTTCTTGTTGCTAGCTCTCTCTGGCCATCTGTCTGTCTGTCTGTCTGTCTGTTTTTGACATAAAACTTTGCACCGATGTGCAGCAGTTCAAGTCGCCACACTCCCCCCATGTACCACACAAAGCAAGAGAAGAAAGTAGAAGAAATGCGTAATAGAGGTAGTAAACAGAGATGTGAAACAAAGGAATAGTAATAACGAAGAACAATATAGTTTCATTGGAAATCATAAGTCACAAAGAGTGGATGCATCTGCACCAGTCATTGAGAACGAAGATTTTGAGCCATATCACTGATTATCTCCAGCCTTCATTGGTTTTTACCGTCCCGAGGACCCCAACCAGTTAGGAAGTCTACATCTTCCTACGCGGCGGGTTGCCTTAAATTAACTGCTGTGGGTTTCATTGACTGATGAGGCCATGTTTTGGTTTGATTGCCTCTAGCCCTTTTCCAGCCTGACTCTATGTCAGCTAACATCTCCCGTCCGTCGAGGAACGCGATGACTAGGCATACGTAACACATGTCCTAACAATCTCAATCGATGTAGCTTCACAGCCTCGTCGATCGATTCTCCCTCCTTACCTAGCACTCGACCGATACCTAACCTGAATATTGCTCACCTTATTATACCACTCAACACGGGAGATAGAACACAGGCATTTATGATCAGAGACAGCTAATCTTTTCATGTCTTCCGCTCTCAGTGGCCAGGTCTCACTCACAGCCATAAAGGAGGACGGAGCGAACTGCTGAGCAGCATATACACCCTTTGGTCGATAGTCTGATATCATGTCTACGCCAGAGACGTCGTAAACTGATATATGCGAAACTAGCCCTCTGTATCCATACTTAGATTTCGTCTGAGATCAACCCGTTGGCACTGGCTGATGGTATTTCCCAAATAAGTGATGCTATTAACGTGCTCTACCACTTCACTCTCTATTTCTAAACTATGCGTCAGTGTAGTCCAGTCAGTCCTGTAACATCATCTTACATTTGGCGGGAGCGAATCGCATGCAAAACATTCGTAGATTGCAGCTCAAGGTGTTCAGAAGACTGTATTTTTGACTCTGGCCATCTAATTTTCACTATAAAGCCAGAGAGAGCAGCTGCTCATAAAAGTGTGAAGTAGCAAGTTTCTGACCCATATAGAAGAATTGGTTGACTACTAATAAAAATTCGAATTTTGTTGTTTACGCTGAGTGGAACAGATTTCCAAACTGATTTCAGAATGATGAAGTGATCTGTCTTACCTTTCCAATTCTAGTTTTGACATTGTGTTATCCGTGCCGTCTACCTGTATTCGAGGCGATACTGTCTAGATATATGAAGGATGTGACGTGTTTCAAATTTCTTTCATCGATAGTGATTGGTGCTTATTGTTTGCTAGTTATCTTCATCACCTTTGTTTTCTGTATGTCCGCTTGAAGTCCTGTCTTCGCCGACTGCTCTTTCAACCAGTGCATTGGTTTTCACCTCGCCTAGTTTACTAGGTCGCTCCTGGTTTTCTAGACGGTCCCAAGCTTGGGAAAAGCAATCCAGTCGTTACAGAAACTCGAAAGGACTTCTCGCTAATGGTTAGATAGAAGAGATTCAAAAACCCATGCAGGTGTGTAATGCTGGTCTGAGTTGAACTGTAAATGATTCACTTGCTAGGCTGTTCATTGGTATTTGATTAGTTTAAAGATTTATTTTGTCATAAAACAACATGAACTAGAGAGTCTTTCACTAGTTGAATGTTAGTCAATGGAGAAGTCCCCCGGGATATCAATTGAATCTTCGAGATTTACCAAATAAGATACAGTCTACAGCTCATTAATAAGTAGTTTCTCGATAGATTCTTTGTTTCTAGTGATAAGTTGTGACAAGTGAGGCATAGTAAATGTGTTAATCAATAGTTGATAGCATTAAATGCTGATTATATTATATCATTTAACAGAGGATGGGAAGAATCATTCACCGTTTTATCCCAACCTAGTGTCTGAATAGTATAACTTAATGATAAACTGATGATTCTAGATAAACTCCCATTACACAGATATAGGTTGGAACAAGTGATAAAGGATATCTGAGAAAAATGGCACCATAATTAGCTCCCAGAATAAACGAATGGAACGCTGGAAAGAGCACTTTAAGGAGCATTTTATTTGGCCTACAGCCACGCTCAACTTACCGAACATTCAACACCTCCCTGAATGGGATCTAGACACAGGTCCTCCATCCCTAACTGAGGTTACTAAGGCTGTCACTACTCTGAAACGAGAAAAAGCAGCAGGACCTGATGGGATGACTCCAGAGCTACGGTGGAGACAGTTTACTGCCTGTATTAACTGAGGTACTAGGCGGTGCCTGGGAATCAGAGGAAGTCCCGCCGGGTTGGTGTAAGTCACTGATTATCCCCATATATAAGAAGGGAGACAAGTCCTTCTGTGATAATCACAGGAGGATTAGCTTGACTAATATGGTATCTAAAGTTCTAGGCTCAATAATAATGCGTAGACTAAGTGGTGCTCCGGGAGGCACAAACACGAGAGAGCCAGGCACACTTTAGGTCAGGAAGACGGTGTATTGATCATATCTTCACTCTTCGACAGATTCTGGAACATAGGCATTCTTACCAGCGTCCGACAATTGTTATATTTCTGTTGTTCTTCGTTACTACTATTCCTTTTGTCTCATATCTCTGTTTGCTGTCTCTTTTTTGCATTTCTTCCACTTTCTTCTCTTGCTTTGTGTGCCATATAGAGGGAGTGTAGCGACTTGAATTGCTGTATATCTGCGCAAAGTTCTCTGTTGAAAACAGACAGACAGACAGAAACAGATTTTCAATACTGTCCAACTTCCAAATATGGATAATGTTGGTTTCTAATAGTGTTCAACTTCATGCATTTATTCCCCTTGATAAACTTGAATAAAGCGAGAACAACATTGATTTGTGCAGAATAACATGGTACCATCATTTATTTCGTTGGCTTCTCGTCAGCTGCTTACAGCCTAAATAAATTTTCAGGTTTAAGTACAGAAACGTGTTAACATACTTGCAAATTTTACATGTTGTCAGTTGACAGAAAGTTTCACAATTAGTAAACAGTGCTCAGAAAATTGCGCTTATATAGTTTTTACACAGGCAGTTCAAGTTAAAAAAAAATAATAATAAATAAATGTATGCATATAATAAAGATGGGATGTGCGTTGGATGCATAGTGACTAATAAGTTAGGTAACAATGCACTGAGTTGAACTCAAATCATAGAAACAAGAGACAAACAAAATTACAGATTATAAAAGAGGGTGAGGTTAAAGACAAAGATTACGCAGTCAGATGAGAGAAAAAAAGACATCCAGTTACCAAGGCAAGGAAAGACTAATAACTGATTCTTTCTGAACACATAGATCTGGTTTCAAGCGTTTGATAGAAATTGCTTCGGCAAACTTGAGGAGAATGGAGCTCCTTTGTCTATTGATAATTTTGAAGGATTTCTCGATTTCCACCTCATGACCCGTGTCGAGGAGATGTCTGGTAATAGCGCTGCTATAAGAGTTTGTTCCCTTGAGACGTAGGCTTTTCGGCACATGTTCAGAAAATCGGAGGTGTGCCCTTCTTTCTGTTCTCCCAATGTAACTGCTCCCGCAGATACACGTAAATTTGTATACACAGTTGGAGTTAACATGAGAAGGGTATCTATCGACTTTTGACTGCACCAAAGAGCATGTTGTTCGATGGACGGGAACCAACTTAGCTGCAGGATAGGCTCTGGCTAGTGACGTCCTCAGTCTTCTGTTGACCATTTCTGCAATGTCTTCACCTTTAAAGTCTAGTTGAATGAAGACAGGCTTTTTTTCGACTGTGTTTTGTTTGGTATTTGGGCCTTCACATCTTCCATATTTGTTAATGAATTTTTGAGTATAGCCGTTGTTTTTCAGCACCTTTTCGAGATTCGTGAATTCTTCCTCTAGTTTCTCTGCAGAGCATATTCTCCTCGCTCTATAGTACAGAGTCTTGACTAGTGCTCGTTTATAGCTATTTGGACAAAAACTATTAAAATGTAAGTATTGTCCATTCCATGTGGGCTTTCGGTAGATTGACCTCTGGAGGCTACCATCTTCTAGGCGTTTTATGGCGACGTCAAGGAAATGGAACTGTTCATCATTTTCATGTTCCATAGTAAATACAATATTTGTATGTGCGTTGTTGAATAGTCTGAGTAGGTAGGAGGCATGACTTTCGTTGTTGCATACTACAAATGTGTCATCGACATATCGACAATAGGAAGTTGTTTGATCAATTGCATGCTTCAGCTTTGTTTTCTGAAGGTTTGACATAAAGATATCTTCTTAAACAGGGCTAAGTTGACTGCCCATAGCTACACCATCTATTTGTCGGTAAAGAGTGTTGTCAAACTGGAATTGTACACCCATGGTACACATTAGCAGTAGGCGTTTGAATTCCGGCTCTGGTAGTGGGAGAAGATCAGACTGTTGACAAATGATCTCAATGGTTTCATTGATTGGGATCATTGTGAACAAGGAGGTTGCATCAAATGAAACCATGAACTTATTTGAAACGTTCATGTGATTCACGCTTTCGGCAAAATGAAATGAGTCTTTTATGGTATGCGTGGCTAGCCTTTGGCGAATGGGTTCCAACTTCTCCGCAAGCCAACGGGCAATCTTGCGTTGGGGAGAGTTGATCATCGAAAGTATAGGTCTCAGAGGTACTTCTTTCTTGTGTGTCTTTGGAAGGCCATACATATATGGCAAGCGGGACCCTCAGGGTTTCAATTCATTGTACGTGTTGTTGTCAATCAAATTCTTCTTTAGAAGATCTCTCAATACGTTTGTGATGCGTTTTTCAGTCACATCTGTCTTGTCTTTCTGGCAGTCGTTGACTTTAAACCTCAACGGATCATTCAGCACAGTTTTCATCCTTGCGATGTAGTCATCTTTATCCATCACTACCACTCCTGAGCCTTTGTCAGGTCGCAGTATGACAATTTTGTCATTATTTCTGAGAGCTTTCAATGCTTTTTGATGCTCTTCAGAGAGGACTTTTGAATATGACATTGGTGTGATGAGGTATTGATTTGCAACGTCGACCAGCTTAGATTTGAACCAGCTCTTCTTGTCCTCATCAACTGGGGTAAGATCATTCAGCTGATAGAATAGGTTTTCGAATTGAGCTGCGACGTCGGTTCTATTGACAAAGTTATTCGGGATATGGAAGTTAAATCCGAGGGAAAGCACTTCCATTTCTATGCGACTTAAATTCAGACTCGACAGATTATATACAAAATCCTCAGGGTTTTCTGGGAAGACTTCATATATTTTTTCCTTTGTCAGGGATTTCGTCAGGGTTTTATAAAAATTTGCACAGGTTTTCTGTTGAAGCTCTTGAATGAAATTGATGAATTTGATCCGGCAAACTATGTTCAAACTATTGACGACACCGTCAAAGGATCTGGCTTCATTTCTCAATTTTGCAATCAGAGATTCTGTTGATTCAATATGCGATTTCGTAATGCGTCGGAGGTTTTTGAGAGAGGGTGGCAATTTGCAACTACGGAGTGACTTGATGAGATGCCGAGGAAAGCAGTGGGACTGCAAGCATTCTTATAGCAGCGCTATTACCAGACATCTCGACACGGGTCATGAGGTGGAAATCGAGAAATCCTTCAAAATTATCAATAGACAAAGGAGCTCCATTCTCCTCAAGTTTGCCGAAGCAATTTCTATCAAACGCTTGAAACCAGATCTATGTGTTCAGAAAGAATCAGTTATTAGTCTTTCCTTGCCTTGGTAACTGGATGTCTTTTTTTTCTCTCATCTGACTGCGTAATCTTTGTCTTTAACCTCACCCTCTTTTATAATCTGTAATTTTGTTTGTCTCTTGTTTCTATGATTTGAGTTCAACTCAGTGCATTGTTACCTAACTTATTAGTCACTATGCATCCAACGCACATCCCATCTTTATTATATGCATACATTTATTTATTATTATCATTTTTTTTTAACTTGAACTGCCTGTGTAAAAACTATATAAGCGCAATTTTCTGAGCACTGTTTACTAATTGTGAAACTTTCTGTCAACTGACAACATGTAAAATTTGCAAGTATGTTAACACGTTTCTGTACTTAAACCTGAAAATTTATTTAGGCTGTAAGCAGATGACGAGAAGCCAACGAAATAAATGATGGTACCATGTTATTCTGCACAAATCAATGTTGTTCTCGCTTTATTAAAGTGTTCAACTTGATATAAATTGTTGACTACATACATGATTAGAATTTTGTTTTAAAGTCAATCACTTGTTCTCACTTATTTCTAGGTGTGTAGCTGTTACTTCAAGTGAATGGATATTTATTGATTTATTTCCATCTTCAGAGTTTTCAATGGAGGCGAATGAAGTATATCCGAAACGTATTCAGGTTAGTTTACTGTCGATACATTGATTAGTTCAAGAGAAAACTTTGGAACAAAGGGCTTCAACAGCACGTCACCATTAAATCCTGTTCTCTGCAATCCTCTTTAGCTGGCCCGACAACTGCTAATAAGCTTTCATTTCCCCTTAAACGATCTACTCCATGTGACTCTCCGACGTCCAACTTGTCGTTTTTCGTTCGGGTTCGAGTCGAAACTCAGAGGTTTCCTCAATGGGGGGATCCAAGCTGTCTCCAGTTCCCTTAGCAAGTGTTTTTGATTGATTCATTCGTAGAATTCCTTGCCTCTAACTCTCTCTCTGTGGCCATCTCCTGTCCAGTATTAATTATTGAAGGCAGCTGTTGATAAAAGTGTACTACAGCTTGTTGGAAATGCTTTTTGGTGATACACACCAAGTCTCTGAACTATATAGAACTGACTAACTTGACAGTTGGCCTTGAAAATCCAAATCTTATTCTTTATGGTTATCGTAGTAAATTTCCCTAATGAGTTTAGATTAATGAAGGTGTGTCTTGCTTTTCCCACCCTGGATTTGGCATCTCCGTCCGTGCCACCTGCAGTTGAAACGATGCCGCCCAAAAGAGATGATGTCCTTCAAATTGATAGTGATTGGTGCTTGCTATCGTTCGTTAGGTACCTTCGTCGCCTGTGTCTTTTCTATATTTATTTGAAGTCCAAATCTTTTAGTCTTCTTGTTGGTGTAATATATTCCTGTCTTCTCGCTCCCGCCCACAGTATGCCGCATGATCCAGACCATCGCAACACAGGAATATCGTTGGTAGTATTGTGGTGAGAGCTGTCTGCTAGCCAAAATTATAGACAACAATTTACGTCAATGTTTACGTCCCGAATCGGGGTCATGCGAAAAAAAACAAAACAATAACAAAGCTTAACCTTAAGGAACTCACCAACCAATCACAGCAGACTTAACGTGTGCAAATACGATTCGCAGATATATGGTATGACTTTCTAAGCTTGAAGAAAGCAAGAACAACAATTGTACCAGGATGATATAAGCTCATCTTTTATTATTTCGAGGATTCTTCTCAACTGGTTACAACCTGAACGATAAAAAGATCTGAATTACATTGAAGATTTGAACATACTTTTCCACGATCACAAGGGGTAATTGGTCCGGAATGATTTAACTAATTAAGAGTTACAAACACTGACTATTTATAGAATGATTAGACAATTAGGCTTGGAAAAAAAGCAGAATTGCGTATATCTGTGTGTGTGTGTGTGTATAGAAATAAGGTTGAGCTAGAAAGAGCATAGCAAAAAAGTAGATTACGTAACTAAAGAAAGTGTCTCATCTAATAGCCAATAGAGAAAAGAACATGGTAGGGTGAGTCATGTTTAGGTGAGAGAGAGAGAGAGAGTAGAGTTTTCTAAACAAGAAAAGGGTTGACTCACAAAAGTTGTTTCTGTTTTTGTTTCCAAGCCTAATTGTCTAATTATTCTATAAATATTCAAGTATGAGTTTGTGGGGATTTGGTCACAAGCTCGCCTTGTAACCAGGATGTCCTGGGTTCGAACTCCGGTGGGTGCGTACTACTGAAGAGTCCCAAAACTAGGACGAAACAGCTGTCCAGTACTCCCTGCAGGTTCTCTAACCAATGTCAACTCGTGATGAAATCCTGTAACCTATTCTATAAATAGTCAGTGTTTATAATTCTTAATCAGTTAAATCATTCCGAACTAATGTTACTTTTACTTCCTATCAATTACTCCTTGTGATCGTAGAAAAGTATGTTCAAATCTTTAATGTAATTCACAATTTTTTTTCGCTCACGCTATAACCAGTTGAGAAGCAACCTCGAAATAATAATAAAAGATGACCTCATATTATCCTGGTACAATTGTTGTTCTTGCTTTGTTCAAGTTTATTTAATGGGAACAATTGCATGAAGTTTTCTAAGAAATGGCCATAAAGAGATGACAGAAAAACCTTCAGCAAGAAAACAACCAATCCGAAGACGTTGCTTCTCTGCTGACAATAAGGAATAATAATAATATACATAAAAATCTATAAATATCTTTTGATTTTCTCAATAAACGATCTGTTGCCTGACCCTTGTCTTCTGTTGTTACAGTATTAGGAAACCGTATCTTAATCCTGGCTTCCCTTCTTCAAAGGCATCGTTGAGTTTTGCTGTTGTGAATCACTTGGTATGGAGCGGCGGCATCATCATATAGGTGTTGAGTGAAGTTTTATAAAAAGGTTCAAGAAATGCCGTACTTTTGAAACACCTGTCAAATTACTTCACGATCAAGTCTATCGAAGACATTTTCAAAGTTGACGGCGTTGAGAGATAGAGCTTTGACTTCCTTTCTATGCTGTGTGCGTTGATGATGCATATATAGTTACAGTCGGGTTCACAAATTATTTGCTTTCCTTGAACTTAGATTTTTCCTAGAGGATTTTCGCATCTATATCATCTTTTAGTCTCCACGGGATGGAGTGACTTAATATTTTGCTCGGCGTGGAAATCAAACCTTGGTATATCGATTCAGATTATTTATTTGTCTGATTAAAGGAGAGTGATGCTCAGGAAGGCTTTGTGTGCTTTTGAAAGTTTGTGGGCGGTTGTTACTTCCCGGTTGGCCACACAGTAGAAGTTGATTGATTCTTCGGGTACCTGAAACAGAAAGAGAGTTAGTGTTGCGTGACCGAAGAGCCTAGGGGACAACTGCTTGAGGCCGGTCACACACGGCCTGTATGAACTGGGTTCTGGGGTTGGTTCCGTATTAGTAAACTTACCGCTGGTTACGCACCACCGTAGGGTAGGTCGGGATGTACAATTTTTCTAACCCCTTCTCTTCAGAGTGGAGAGACAGCATAGCTGACATACTGGTCATCTGAGGGAAACATCTTACTGCTGTTACACCCCTGCTCTCAAGCAGTACGACTTCACCCTTAGACCCCCAGCATAGTGTAAGAATGATTCTTACACAATACCGGTAACTGCTTTTAGTCTAATCGCTATCCTAACAACCTTCCTGGCATGTGGTAGGACCTACAGGAACATTGTTCCAGCCAGTGCAACGTGTTGGGTGGTCATTGCGATGTGCAAGCCCGACCACCGCGTCAAAGTAGCAGCTATCGGTCGGAGATTATTTATTTATCACATTCGTTTCAACCACACACACACACACACTCTCTACCAGTTATATCAGTAATATATGTATTTTTCTGTCTACTAATGGAATTATTGAATTATCATTTTTTCCCTTATTTTTAAAAAAATTAACACGTGTTTAGCTGCCTGATCATCTAAGTTCAAATGTTCAACATCACTTTTATTATCATAAACTTCAAGCTACCAGTCAAGAATTATATCAGGTTTAATGCGTCTTGCAGAATCGCATTACAATTTATCAAGTACACTTGTTCAAGATATTCCAATGAAAGAAGAGGCAAATGTTAATTCTGGTAGTTCAATGTATGGTGTTGAACTGCTGCATCGTAGTGAAGTGCATGATTTATTAAAATGTGCGGGATTATTTGAAAAATTATTGATACGTACACAAAGTGAAACTGATAAGTCATTATCACGTCCGAATTCAGGCTTTTCAAAAACACTTGGTATCAAATGGGTTACACCTAAAACATCAGATGCAAGTGAGTGTATGAATTTTGTTTTACTCCAGATAATCCTCCGTCATCCAGGCATTGATGAAAAAAACACAACTCGTAGATCATTAAGCCACTGGGACTGGATCCAGTGGCTCATGAATCCTAACTTCTGCCAATTCACAACACAGCGCAACCGCTAGCCAATGTCTTCAGCGAGTATTTGTCCTCACATCTGACCCGCTGCACCCTACTGGTCACGACTTCCCACTAAAACCCCAGGTAACTACTACCTACCTGGATATTGCCAGTCTCCAGTGCACACCTCATTGATATTCGAGTATTGGTTTGTAGGGATTTGTTTGATTGGTTACAGGATTTCATGAGCTGACACCCGCACACAATGAATGAATTAAAGCAACGAACTCCCATTGAAACTCAACGCGCGCTAGTAAAAATGATTCCAAGCAATATTGATCCCTCAAGGAACTTATTTCCTTCCTACCCTACTTTTATTTTTATACATAGTTTCCTGTATTGTACCTTTTCTAACCTTGGCTTCTTAACCTTCGACAGCCTTTCGCCTTTGTCGAGATTCCCAGCCTATCCGTGTCGTTTCGAGATGTTAGTGAGTAGTCCTCAAAATGGTTGTTCCCAATGTGACATCTAACACGGATATCCTGAAACCGCGTGCTGCGTTCAAGCTGGCTACCTACAATGTTCGGACGCTGATGCAAATCGGACAACAGGCAGGGTTGGCAAGAACTTTGGAAAGCCTCGCTATCGATGTCTGCTGCATTTCGGAGACCCGCATTCAAGATCCCAGTGAAGTGCTTCGACTATCCTCTCCATCTGGAAGTTCTAGTAGTATGTACCACCTGCGCTTATCCGGGGACCCTGTGGCGTCGGCATCCGGCGTAGCTGGTGTCGGTGTCGCACTGAGCGCTAGAGCCGAAGCTGCACTGCTCGACTGGATTCCCATTAACAGTCGTTTATGTGCTGTGAGGCTGGAAGGTTATACGAAAGTAAAGAGTAGTAGGCCAGATAGGCGGTGTCTATTTGTTGTCTCTGCCTATGCACCGACGGATTGCAGCCCGGATGCAATGAAGGATGAGTTTTACTACCAACTGAGCGATCTCTTGAAACAGGCGGGTCGGAGGGATATCGTAGTGCTGGCTGGGGACTTGAATGCACAGGTGGGGCGTCTAAGCTCAGAGGAGAATCGTCTAGGTGGTCAGTGGGGACTACATGGTCGCAGGTCAGATAATGGGGACCGTCTTCTGCAGCTTTGCGCGGATCACAACCTATTTCTAGCTAGCACCAACTTCCGGCACAGCCATCGCCGTAGCGCTACCTGGCGTCCTCCCTCTGCGAAGCAAGCTTGGACTCAGATTGATCATATCGCGGTCAGTTTCCGGTGGCGAGGATGCATACAAGACTGTCGCTCCTTCTGGAGCACATGCCTGGACTCCGATCATGCGTTAGTGTGTGCCAAGTTCGTCTTGCGATTTGGTGGGGTTCGTAAAAGCCGTCGTCTAAGCGTTGATGTGAGCAAACTAGTAGCACCTGCTACTTCTTTGAAATATCAGAATGAGTTAAAAACAATGCTTGCCAGCAACCCCCCAAGTAGTATAGATGAACATTGGCTTCATGTGCAAGGTGCCATGCAAAAGGCGAGTGTAGCCGCTTGCGGCTTGAAAGAATGCTCCGCTAACAACCACTGGGTTTCTGCGAGTTCCTTGCAACTCATGGATGAACGCCGGTCCATTCCGGCTGGCAGCGAATACAACAATCAGCGAAAGGCGCTCACGCGCAAGATTAGACAGTGTTTACGTAAGGACCGCGAAGCCTGGTGGTCAGAACGTGCGTGTGAGATGGAGTCAGCTGCTGCATCTGGCAACAGTCGGAAGCTGTTCCAACTCATACGAGCCACCGGCAGCAAGAAACAAGGTGTCAGCGAGACGGTCTGTGAGGCAGATGGCACTCCAATTACCAGCCTGAAAAGACGCCTGGAACGCTGGGCAGAGCACTTCGGGAAGCAGTTCAGCTGGCCACCAGCTTCAGTGTCTACTATCATTAGCCCGAGTGCTCCTTGGTCGGTTAGTACCGACCCACCCACCGAAGCGGAGGTCCGTAAGGAACTCCAAGTTCTGAAACGCCATAAGGCGCCCGGCCCAGACAAATTACCCCCGGCTCTTTTTAAAGATGGTGGCGAGACTCTCACAATGGCTCTAACTGGGTTGTTCAGGAAGGTGTGGGAGACAGAGAGTGTACCATCAATGTGGAACGAAGCCATTATCGTCCCCATCTTTAAAAAGGGTCGACGTAATTCGTGTGACAATCATAGGGGTATCAGTCTGTTACCAGTCGCGTCTAAAATATTGGCTGCTGTCTTGCTTCGCAGACTGTGCAAAATACGTGAAGGATTGATTCGCGAAGAGCAGGCTGGGTTTCGTTCAGGTCGTGGATGCATTGATCATGTGTTCACCCTTCGTCAGTTGTTGGAACACCGCCACACGTATTGCAGGCCAACGATCGTTGTGTTTCTTGATATTAGGGCTGCCTTCGATTCGTTGGACAGAACTGTGCTCTGGAACTGTCTGTTAGAGAGAGGTGTACCTGAGAAATTTGTTAACATCCTGAAAGCCCTATACAGAAACACCTCAGGTAGAGTGAGGGCATACAACCAACTATCACCACTGTTCCCAACCAACAGTGGGGTTAGACAGGGTTGCCCAATCTCTCCATTTCTCTTTAACTTTGCCATCGATGACATTCTGGAGTCAGCTCTGAAGGATGTGCGTGAAGGTGGTGTAGATCTGCTACCTGGAGATAGACTTTTCGACCTCGAGTATGCAGACGATATCGTCTTACTGTGCGATAGCATGCAGGCTGCCCAAATCGCACTTAATCAGTTGGCGATCAGTGTCTGTAAGTATGGTATGTGCTTTGCGCCGTCTAAGTGCAAAGTACTGTTACAAGATTGGCAGGAGCCTGTACCTGCACTCACTCTTGCGGGTGAACCGCTTGAAGTTGTTGATAAGTTTGTGTACCTGGGTAGTTGTGTGAGTGCTGGCGGAGGGGTGACGGATGAGATTTCCAACCGTATAATGAAGGCTAGGGTGGCATACATCAACTTGAGCCACCTCTGGCGCCGTCGCGACGTTAGCCTGGCTGTCAAAGGTCGGGTATACAATGCTTCGGTGCGGGCTGCGCTGCTCTACGCCTGTGAAACCTGGCCTCTCCGAGCTGAGGATGTGCGGCGACTCTGCGTGTTCGATCACCGCTGTCTCCGCAGGATTGCTTGCGTTCGATGGCATCATCGCGTGAGTAATTCTGAGGTTCGGCGGCGTGTGTTTGAACAAAGTGGAGATCACCATTCATTGAATGTCGTCATCTGGAAACACCGGCTCCGGTGGCTTGGACATGTGCTCCGAATGTCACCCCAGAGGCTTCCGTACAGGTCTCTGTTCGCTAGCCCTGGGACGGGATGGAAAAGGCGGAGAGGTGGTCAGTCCATGACGTGGCGTCGTGGGATGAAGGATTTTTGTGCTAGATTAGCATCGGTTGGTGTGTCACGACTCCCTGGTTGGGGTCCGAGAGATAGCTCAAATCGATGGCTCGAAACGTTATCGGATATGGCCAAGAATCGTAATCAGTGGCGAATGTGTTGCGATTTCCTTCTTTCTTCCCTTCCCGATGATAGCTAACGAACACTGTTTGAACTTGTTAAGCATGACTGTTTTCCTTCCAGATGAAGTTCTTTATCCGTTCTCTACTTATATATATTTTTTCTTTTCCTTCCTTCCTTTTTTTGATCTATGTTGTTTTATTATTATTGTGTGGCGCATCTTTCTTGGTGCCATATTGTACCAAGTTTTTTATGCGTTTAAATAAATGACACCGGTTAGAGAGCCATTGGAAAACCAGCTGGGAGTACTGGACAGTTGTTTCCTCCGTCCTAGTTTGGGACTCCTCATCAGTAGGCACCCACCGGGATTCGAACCCAAGACCTTCTGGTTGCAAGGCGAGCGATCCAATAGCCGATGGCTGTCCAGTACTCCCAAGTTTTCCAGTGGTTATCTAACTGATGTCAAATCATGATGAAATTCTTCATCCAATTAAACAAAATCCTTACAAAATCAATACTTGAAAATATCGTGTTCTGTTCAATACTACTGTGATGTTTCCAGGCCGATTTGATGAAAATTGTCAGCTTCAGTCTTCGGAATCAAATACTATAACTATTTTTAAAAGAATAATTTCAGCTGACTCAACTTTTGCCGAGTTTCAGTTAGATCTAGTGGGGTTATATTTGTTTTTTGTGTTTTGTTTCGTTTCGGTTAGAGAATCTCAATTATTTTCGATGATTTTATCGCTAATCTTTACTCACAGTTTTTGATCATCTCATGTTAGGTATTTATTTATATATATTTCTGGACTTGTTTTGCATTAAAATGGTGGCTAGTGTTGCTATTTTGAAAGAACCACCAAAGTAGGTACTATTTTATCGCGCGTTTTTCATTTCATTGTTGAACAAATGAACCCTGTGATATCGGCTTCTGTGATGATGATGCAGTGATACTGAGTTGTAGGATTATCTAAGTAGACCAGAACTCTTGACATTATAACCAACTGATCACTTGAAAATATCTCCCGCATTCAGAATGGACACAAATGTCAAACTTGGGCAAACTCCAACCGAAACAACAACGATAGCAATTTTGTTAGACAAATTATGTGATATGTGTTGTATCTACACAATACCTCAGAAATGTAACCCATAAATAAACAAATCTGATTAGTTGGCATAAATAAACCAATGAAAACTGTCCAATAGGGTTATCATGTCAGTACATGCAGAAATCATGCCTTCACGACTAACAAAGGTTCTTGTCCGCGCTAACAGGTTCTGTCTAAAATTCGGGTTTTTTGCGTGCATTGCTGAAACACTACTGTATAGGTTTCTTTGGATAGTTTCTTTGATTCTTTGTCTTCTGAGTGGAAACTTCGGAGTTTCAGTCTCCATGGTGTTATTTTTACGAGGTGGGATCGTAACTTTCACACTCAGCCTTTCCTCTTTTCCAGTTAGGCGAGATTTAGGAGTGCATCGACTGGGAATCGAACTTAGACCGCCTGTGTAGTCCGCGCGCAGTCTACCTTTAATCCACTGACTCAGAATTTTCTTTGGGTTGTAAAATTTCTTTAATTAGATATGATAGAGAAGATTTGTAGCTCAGGTGAATGATTTTGATGTAGTTGTGTTCTCTGAGCTGGATAGTTAATTCGCGAAGCTTTCATCGCCCGTCCTATTAGGCAACATCTTCAGTGCATACTTCAATCTGTTGAAGTGAGCGTTTAGATTTCTCCACGAGTTTATTAATCATCTCTCTTGGTGGGTGACCTTGGACGTGATTGGTTGTTTGTGTGTGTGTTTTCACACCTTCTAGGTTACTTGTATTGATGTTGATTGTTTCTTTGACTCGAACTTTGACCCTTTGTGTGAGGTTTCTTTCTTATCAGTTGGTAAATTTTGTCTATCTCGATGTGTCTATTGATTGATGATTCACTGGAATACCAGGTTCCAGAATATTATATGGCATTATTGGTGTTCCCTCTGTCTAATATTTGAACGTTAGTTGTCCCAGTCGAATTGATGTCCGTGGTTGTCTGTATGCAGTGAGGCGATATGAGGGAGTGAATGTCATGTCTTTTGACGGCTAGCTTATGCTCGTGGATACGAAAAGGATATCCACTTTGTTGAGTCTTTTGGTTGACATTGAACTGAGCGAAGTGATTTTGTTGGTTTGTGTGCGATGTCAATTCAAGTCTCTTCAAACCTTTAGGTATTGGCCTAACACAAAACGGGGTTTTCGGTCAGTGGGTCATGGGTTCAAGTTCTGCCTCGCCTACTTCAGCATGGCCAACTGGCTAATATTATCAGGCCCCACCTGATAATAAATGTGGCTTTTTTAGCCCGGCACATGTGAAATATGTTCGGCGTAATTGTGCTTAAATAACATACAATAACTATGTTCAGCTGTTATCGTTATCCTGATAACGAATTTTTTTAGTGTCAAGTGGTGGTAGACATCAGAATCCAGGATGTACATTCGGTCACATCGACACTTATTGTATGCTTCTGGTAGTGTAACAACAGAAGACAAGGGCCAGTTAACAGATCGTTTATTAAGGAAATCATTACGTATTTATAGAATTTCATGTACATTATTATAGATTATTGTTAGCAGAAAACACAGTCTTCTGATTGGTTGTTCCTCACAGAAAGTTAACCTTGCATCTCTTTGTGACTGTTTCTTGAATGTCAGATCATCTATATGTTTATTGTATCCGCCTACACAAAGCCTTTGTTCTCATTTTTCTCACGCCCAATATTGGTGACATAAACACTGACGTAAATTACTGTCCACCAATTTTGACTAACAGCAAGCTCTCACCGCAGTAGTACTTCAGTTTCCTGTTTTTTTAAAGTTGATCTTTGTGCCCCAGCAAACTATGAGTTGTATTTTATTCCAAGGTTGATCACAGACTGATATCAGTTAGCGAGTACTAGACTTCTGTTTCGTCCTAGCTGGTTACTCTTCAGCAATGCGTACCCACTAGGATTCGAATCCAGGAGCTTTCAGTTACAAAAAGCGAGTCCGTAGACGATTGAACCATTGGGACTTGACTCAGTGACCAGTGCATGAATTCTAACTCTTACCAATTCATGATTTTAGCGTGTCCGATCACCAGCAAATGTTGTTGGCGAGTATTTGTTTATTTAAAAAGTACTTTTTTAAATTGTTTTTTGTGAATAAACTTACCACGTCAACTTCCATGCACATTACAAACATCAATACACAGTTATCAATAATTTCATGTATGTTAAAGAATAAATTTCTTGTAACATTATTTTTTTCTTTCTGCTGTAGATTTCTTGCGATTTGCTGTTGCAACTTATCGTGTTACAGTAGCTGATGTTTGTCATAGAGCATCTACTTGTTTATCTCAGTTTGTATTAAGCGGTAAGTCATCAAAAAGAAGCATTATGGTCATTTGTTATTATTATTCTATGGAGAAAGAAGTCATGTATTGATTAAAATGGCCACACTACGGATCATCATTCAACAAAGCTTGGATTGGCAGTCACCTTTCTCTCTATCTCAACTTCGCCGACTTTGAAAAGGCCTTCGACAGACAGCGTCGATCGAGAAGTGATTTGGCAAGTACTTCGATACTATGGAGTGCCACCGACAATTATACATCTCATTCAACAGTTGTATGACAATGCTGCGAATGCCAAGTAATCCACAACGGGAAACTTAGGGAATCCTTCGAAGTAAAGACGGGAGTAAGACAAGCTGGCTGCCTACTATTACCAATGAATTTCCTGATTGCAGTAGGTTGGATAATGCGACAGACAGCGACCAGCGAGGAAACAGGCATAAAATGTACCCTCATGAGAAACTTGGAGGATCTGGACTTCGCCGATGATGATGTTTGTCTGATTTCCCACAAACTGGAAGATATGCAAGTGAAAAGCAACAAGTTGACAGAAGAAGCATCAAAGATATGAAGGACTTCAGGTGAACATAGAGAAAACAGAGGTGATGAAGATTCTGGCCAACACCGACAGCAACAACAACAGACAACAATCAGCCAGTATAAATAGGAGAAATCTGAAAGAAGCAACATGCTGTACCTACCTACCTGTGGAGCATCGTTTCAACTACAGGCAGAACTTCCATATTAGTTTTTTTATTAGATGTATCACACAGTGAAACAGTATTATTTACATTGTCATCCAGTAAACTGTTTCACAAAGTTTAAATGATTGTAATTCACTAATTTGTACATTCCACAGTGGTAGAGTTCTCGCCGACCATGCAGGTGGCACAGGGTTGGATCCCCGACCACATACGCACTCCTTTACCTCGCTAAGCCAGTAATAAGACTGGTAAAGTTTGGGCGTGAGACAGGCTAGCAAACCTATCCTGTAAAAAATGCAGTTCAGAGACTGAGAGTTTCTCACAAAGCATTCTGTCAACAGTCCACTGTTAACTTGAAGCTATCGGCCAACAATTATGAAGAAGGAAGTGAAGATGGATTGAACGCGCACACACACACACACACACACTGTAGAGATCGTTGAGTGAATGACACACCACGCATCAGGTGTGTGAATGGGATACAACGAGTTGGGTGTGTCCGCTCCGCGATGTACTACTTACTGTTGAAGCAGTTTGTGTTCCACTTAGCAGCCAAGGAAATGGTAATAATAGAATAGTAGGGCAAATGGTTTTTAATAAGTTGACAGTCATAGCCTTAGATATTTTACACTTACGTTATAATGCTAGTGCGCACAAATGACTGTTAGTTTCGCTTCTTTTGTCATCCGTAAAATTTGTATATCCTTTTGTCGTTTAGTATATAATGCTCTGACAAGTTTAATGTGCGATTTTTACTGAACACATTTGGTTATTCCACTGACTCGTAGAAGCATAAAAGCTATTTACTATTCGTAGTTATTTATTTATTTAAAACAATTAGTTCCCTTTATGAATTTGGACAAAGCAATAAGAAGACGTAATTTGTTTGAATCGTGTAATGTTGTATTTGCGCAACACATTTCGAACAATCTGATCACACACGGACTTCTCATAGGTATACAAATACGAAAATAATAAAGAATTAAGAGGTGAGAAAATAGACAAGTTAGGTCAAGTTAAAAGGACACATTGAAGGTGAAAACAAGAATGAAGACCACTAAACCAAATAGCAGAGGTAATAGTACCTCCGAAACACGTTGCATAGATAGGCTTAAAAGACGTGTAAACAATTTTGTGTCCTGTCTCTATAATATGTTTCTCAATAGAGGAGCTAGGTCTCCTGTTGTTACTACTAATGGGTTCTGGGAATTCTATTTGTTTTTGAATCCATTTAAGAATATGCTCTGAATCCAGCCCTTACTTGCAGCGATCGATGAATCCTCCCTGTGTATGTGTGTTCACACGTGCATTCAAATTGGTAAATACACACATACATAGGGAAGACTCATCGATCTCTGCAAGTAAGGGCTTCAGAGCATATTCCTAAATGGCTCCAGAAACAAATGGAATCTTCAGAACCCATTAATAGTGAAAACAGGAGACCTAGCTTCTCTTTTGCGAAACATATTATAGAGGCAGGACATAAAATTGACGTTAACAGATCTTGTAAACCTATCTATAAAACATGTTTCGGGCGTATCCTGGGGTTTGTGGAAGCCCTAGATGGCAATTAGAAAGTTTAAACCACCTCTATGCGTTCACAAGCAATTCGTTATCACATTAAACCTTCTTTGGTAAACTTTGTTTTGATACCATGGCAGATGTACTATTACCTCTGCTATTTGGTTTAGTGGTCTTCATTGGTATTTTGACCTTGAGTATATCCTTTTCGGAAACAATAGCCTTCAAATGTAAACCTAACATTATTAGTACATAGAAGTAATAAATCCCTTAAATAAGATATAGGGATTTATTGCTTCTATATAGTAACAATGTTAGGTTTACATTTGAAGGCTATTGTTTCCGCCAAGTTGATGGTATTGCTATGGGAAGTCCGTTATGGCCCCTTTTAGCAGATATTATTATTATATTTAATGATCTCAGCTCGTGCTTCAAATATTTTGACTTTATATCGTGAACGTGGACAAATTCCTCTGGTTAATTTTTGTTTTAATTTTTAATCTTATTTTGTATTTTAAGTAAATCAGATGCAATATTGTGACAAATACTGAGAATTCCATTCTGTATTATAAGTACTGTTTTTGGAATGAAGTAAATTATTATTTATATATCCTTTTAACTTGACCTAAGCCCATTTTCTCACCTCTTAACTCTTTATTAATTTCATATATATTCATTCCTATCACAAGTCTGTGTGTGTGATAAGATTGTTGGAAATGTAGTGCGCAAATACATTACACACACGATTCAAACAAATTACGTCTTCCTATTGCTTTATCCAAATTTATTTATTTATCTAATAACACGGCTGATTACTTTCTGGTTATTTGTTAAATCTTTTTATTAGGTCGGTCTGTTGCCTTGGCTCATCGGATTGATTGCCCTTCTCGAGTTCTACCGAAGCATATGAATATCCTGTCGTCTTGTTCAACAGATGAAGCTCTTCTACTCACTTGTCATGGATCTGTAATGTATATACATGTTTTAGCTACAATATTTCCAATGTGTCATCCTCAGAATATTCCTTTAAAGCCTGATCTGAACTTACAATCAATGGATTATCGTACACAAGCCTTTATTGATCATATTCTGCGCCCGTCTCGTTTAGCTCCAGCCTCGGCTAGATTGAATTATTCTGTACTTCCAAAAGAAAGAGGTATGTTCTAGCCTCTTCGTCTTCTTCTTCTGCTCTTTGTGTAAACATTTTTTTCTCTCTTTGATTTAGTTGACGGGATGAAGAACTGAAAGTGATCTGTTTGTCTTTGAGTGGAATTAAATCCATTTTGATGTGGTTATGTTCTGTGAGCTGGATAGTTAATTTGCAAAGCTTTCATCACCCATCCTACTGGGCGACATCTTCAGCGAATACTTCAATCTGTTGAACTGAGCTTTTAGATTTCTTCACGAGCTCATTAGTCATCTGTCCTGCTGGGTGATCTTCAACGTGATTGGTTGTTTTTGTGTGTTTTCATACCCTGCAGGCTATTTGTATTGGAACTGATTGTTTCCTTGACTTGGACTCTGACCCTTTGTGTGTGAGGTTTCTTTCTTATCGGTTGTTAAATTTTGTCTATCTCGATGTGTCTATTGACTGATGATCCACTGGAATACCAGACGGGTTTCTAAAAATTGTCTAGCATTCTTGTTGTTTCCTCTGTCTAATATTTAAACGTTGGTTGTCCCAGTTAAATTGATGTCCGTGGTTGTCTGTATGCAGTGAGGCGATATGAGGAAGTGGATGTCATGTCTTTTGACGGCTAGCTTATGTTCGTGGATACGGAGACTAATGGGACGTCCATTTCGGCGAATGTAGTGTTTTTCACAGCTATTACAATTTATAAATTGTAAGAAAGAAACTTCACACACAAAGGGTCAAAGTTCGAGTTAAAGAAACAATCAACATCAATACAAGTAACCTAGAAGGTGTGAAAACACACACACAAACAACCAATCACGTCCAAGGTCACCCACCAAGAGAGATGATTAATAAACTCGTGGAGAAATCTAAACGCTCACTTCAACAGATTGAAGTATGCACTGAAGATGTTGCCTAATAGGACGGGCGATGAAAGCTTCGCAAATTAACTATCCAGCTCAGAGAACACAACTACATCAAAATCATTCACCTGAGCTAGAAATCTTCTCTGTCATATCTAATTCACTCTATATATGACAATTGAAAATATATTCTTTAGTGAAGTGGAAATTAATTGTGAATAGTAAACAGTATGATATTGTAAATATATCTCCTGAATGATGGGAAATACAGCAATTGCTGGTGAATGTAATACTTGCTTATATATATGGTGGTAGTAGGTGGCAGTGAAATCTAGGATCATTCATTATATGTTGGTGGTGTTTCAAGCATAGTATATTGTTCGTATCATATCAGTATGCCGTGTTGTAGAAATTTCACTACTGATTGAATGCATTAGTATAACTCCTATATTAAAAGCTTTATTATTTCTCCGTTGGGTCCCGAGTGGGACATTGGACCTTTAGCAGCACATCTCCATCTTATCCTCCCTTATACAGTTCTCTCCAACTGACTCCACACAATTGCCCATAAGCTTTCAGCCTCCTTTTCACACAATTTCCTCCATGTCAACCTTGGAAAGAAGCCTACCTTGTCTCTCCCCGCTCTCGGATTCCGCTTGAAGGCCCGGTTTACCATATATCACCCAACGGTCTTCTCAGTGTATGTCCAATCCATTTTCCATTTCCTTCCGCATGGCTTGTTCAAAACTCTTTTCGTGACGCGCACAATGTGAAATTTTCTGACCCATAGAGAGAAATGACTGACTTAATATTGGTGCGGAAAATCCGGATATTTTTTCTTCTTGCCTGAGGTCAGAAGCTTTTTAAACTGATTTCAGTGTTGAAGGTGTACACCTTGCCCTTCCGATTCTGATTGTGATATATCATCTTCTGTTTGTTATATCTATTTCAAACGCTTTAAATATTCTAGCTGTTATTTCAGAGATATTTTTCATATATGGTAGGATGAATTTTCTTGTAATCTTTGATGTTGGGATGTTGTTGGTGTTATAAAACGAGTTTGTACACTTTCTGATGATGATGACACTGTGAGGACATGCATTCTTTTTGAAGACGGTTAGTAGGTATTTTTTTCCATTCATCGTCTTCAACAGTGTGTTTGAACTCTTTTAAACAATGTCTGCACACAGTTTCTTTTGTGGGTAATTGGGTTAAAGCTCCGTAATTAAACCAACCAGTCAGCTCAGAGAATACAACTAATTGCAAATCATCCATCTGAGCTACAAGACGATATTATCGCTGTTTTCACTGACGTTTCACTATTTAATAATGTTGCTAATAGCTTTATCAAAGTCGTGACATAAAACCAGAATTTACAAAATCCACACAGCATGCAGTCATTTTCGCGTTGTCGAGTTGGCCAAACGGCAAAGGTAACGCAACCAGGTGTAGATTTTTGGATTCAATAAGCGTATAAAGTTATGAAAGCAAAATGTACGCATACATAGTAAAATTGCTTATCACATTCGTGTTGATTTTGTCATTTCATGTAGGGGGAGGTGGTTGTTCTGTTTTAGTCCATCATTCCTCTTCAAACAATTTAGATTCCATTTGATATGAATAGCTTCTAATGATATTAGACTTTCTTTGTGATTTCTGAAATGCTTTTTCTGGATGATGATTTCAATATTGTCAAAATCAATTTGGTGACTTGATTTTATGCCTGATGATTTTTCAGGCTTTTGTAGTTCACTGATTGGATTTGACGGTGGTCAAGCGGGGATGCTCTGCTCTACGATGTTCATTTCTTCCGATTCTGATTTCTCTTTGGAGATGTTTGTCGGATGTTTATCGCATCACTTCCCACAATTAGATTGAAAATCCTTAAAGGGTTTGGTCTTTTATTTGGACAAAGTTGTTTTGTAGTGTGCGTGTCTGATGTTTTGAAGAAAACTCTGATCTTGTGCTTATTGAGTATTCTTCTGATATATCGTCTGATGTTTCTCATGATCTATATGGAATGACAACTATTGAGGACCATGTTTTCGGAATACGTTTTCAAACATACTTAATGTCAGTGTTTTGATTTTGTTGATGAAGTTCTTTGTGTAGTTATTTTGCTTGAGAGTTTCGTCTAAGAAGACTTGGAACAACTAACAGCTTTCCGATGGTGGGGTGTGATGACCTTTGACCTAGCCTAACTGTAATATGGCTAAGAATGTTTAAATAGGGTGTACTTTTTTCCTTAATAAAGATAATTCGTTATCAAGTCTCTTTCTCATCTTTGTACGTTACATATTCTCCTCCTCCCCCCCGCCGCGAACTACAATCACTGTAGCTAATTAGTTCAAGGGGTTGATTAAAATGTATCAATCATGTCTGCAATTTAATCATTAAACAAGGTGATGTAACACTCGTTGAAACTTTAAATTTATTGATAAACAGTAGAAGTTAATTTATGCTTTTTTTGGTGGTTATTATGGATTTTTAAAAATAAACTTTTATGTCATCATATTCAGCTCGTCAACATATTGAACGTCAAACAAGATACTGGCCACTTATGGAATCACAAACCTTGTTGGGAAAGAATAAGGTCAGTGAATATTTTTTGTTGTTGAGTGAATGTGTATCTCTAGTTTCATTTTCCGCTCCATGTCATTTGCAGCATTGGTTAACGTTAATTGGCCTCATAAAATCATTACCTCATTAATTGATGTCTCATATTGTGGTGAGAGCTGGCTGCTAGCCAGTAATTTACGTCAATGTTTATGTCCCCAATATTGGTCATGAGACAAATGAGAACAAAAACTGATTCAACAACCAACCACAGGAGACTTTGCGTAGGCGGATACAATTGGCAAATAAATAATCCGGACTTCAATAAACGGCCACAAAGAGAATAAGGATTAACGTTCAGCGAGAAACCACCAATCAGAAGACTGTGTTTGTTTGCTTACAATAATCTATATTATTATAATTAATTAATCTATATATTATAGTTAATCTATATATTAAATTTAGGCTGTATGTGATTAATCCACCAAAGGGCTTCCATCACCTTCGATAAAGGTAGCTTTCTTTGGTACAGAAGCTGTCTTTTCGAGATGTGGTCTTTCTTTACTGTGACAAGTGGTAAAGTTTTCCGGGTAACCATTAGCTAATAAAACTGAATGTATATATCGAAACTCATCCATCAATGTATCACTCGTGCATATTTTTCGGACACTTTAGAACAAACAAATCACTAGGGTACGTTTATACTGGATAGGAACAAAACTGGTGACAAGATATTGTCCACTCCAAGTCTGTTTACGAAAAACAGATAGCTGAATCGTTCCATCATCTCTCCTGGTCATTGTAATATCGAGGAAACCGAGTTTGTTATTCGATTCTAGTTTGGAAGTCACTCGGATATTTGGATGAATATGATTAAATAGGGTAATAAAGTTTTCAATAGATTTACTATTATTACCAATAATAAGAGTATCATCTACATAAGGTTTATACAGCATAAATTCTCCACTTATCACTTGTCGCAGTAAAGAAGATCACATCTCGAAAAGGCAGCTTCTGTACCAAAGAAAGCTATCTATATTAACCTACCATTCAAGGGTGACCAGATTGTGCAGTTCAAAGACAACTCAAAGACTTCGGTCAGCCATCAAATGCACATTCTACACCGCATCTCTTTTTCTCACTTGCTGAAAATTTTCGATCCCTATACGAAATTCTGTGTACTCTACTTCAAACTGTATTTACAAGTTCACCTGCAGCTGCGGCGACATGCACTATATAGGTAGAACCAACAGAATCGTCCAATGCCGTCGAAAAGAACATGTTCCAAAATGGCTACTAAATCATATAGAAAATCCCAGTGCGATTAATCTTAATAGAAATCCAGCATCATCATCCATTGCCAATCATTTATTAATGTCAGGTCACAAAATCAATATTAATGACTGTTTCACAATTATTTCACATAACTCTAATTCAAGGTTGGTTACTGAAGGTGATGGAAGTACTTTGGATTAATCACATACATCCTAAATTATGTGAACAAAAAAACAAAAGGCTTCAATCTTCGCCTACCATGGACTACACGACCTATTTAAATATGATTGGTCGTTAGTATGTACTTTTGTGTTGTTTATTTAACTGAGTAGTTGTCATGCCTTTTATTTTATTATTATAGTTGTCAACCATGTTTGTTGTAAAGCGGTTGTAAAGAAACTACGAAATGATGCCATCATCTCGGGAAATTTGTCTTCTAAATGCCTTATTCATACTATATTGTGTTGTTTTTTTTTAATCGACTTGAGCAGTTGACTTTTCACCTTTCAGCTGCTAACTTTTCTCTCTGGGTCTCTCTCTCTGTGTATAACGACCGGAGTAACCGAATTGATTGCAGCTGATTGTACTCCTTATTTCTGATTCATAAACATTTTGTAATTGAGTAAAAAATAAATGGGGTGTATAATTATTTTATTTATGATCACTATTATTAAATACTATTTTTTATAGTTAGCAGGCCCAATATTTGAACACTTACCGAAAGAATACCTGGAACCGAATGAAGTATCTGCTTGTGAAGAAGCTGTAGTGAATATTTTAAACTCAATTAAACAGTATGTCTGCTTGTCGGATTCCAAGAAAACCACTACAAAACGGTAGGTTCAACTGGCTTTCTATTATTGTTGTTTCTAATTCGTCTATTAGTTTTCTTTTCCTCGTAAATTTTTTGATCTAATCAGATAACTGAAGACTGATCACTACTATTCAAATCTGTAAGAAGTAATAGACAGTAGAGTAGAACTATGGTGAGTGCTACTCATAGTCAGATATAAGTAGTATATTAGTAAACGCATTCAGAAAAATAACAATATGTTTCGGACACTGGAAAAAGCAATCGGAAAAAGAGAACTGTGAGAAAAACGTTACAACACTGTTTAGAATCCAAAAAACTATTGAATGTGGTGATATTGGACCAATTTGTAAATAATGTGCTAATAAGGACTTAAAGATAAGGCATATCAAATTTATGTACATACAATGCATGGAATGCTATTCAAACCTCTACCTCAACTTTATAGACTTGAGAAGGCCTTCGACAGCGTTGACCGCGAAGAAATTTGGAAACTACTTGAGTACTACGGCGTACCCCAAATATTCATCAACCTTATTCAACAGCTGTACGACTACGGCACATGTCAAGTGACCCACAACGGAAAACGCAGCGAGGCGTTTGGAGTAAACACAGGAGTCAGACAAGGGTGCTTATTATCACGAGAAGACAGGAATATCCTGGACCGACGCGAAGAACGTAGAAGACCTGGATGTCATGCGTGGATGATTTGTCTTTGATGTCACACAAAATCGAAGACTTACAAGCGAAAACCGACAAACTGGTCGAAGAAGCAGCCGGCGAAGACAGGACTCCATGTGAACATAGACAAGACTGAGGCTATGAAAATAACCAACCAACAACAACAACAGCAGCAACATCCAGCGCCAATCACCATCAACGGGAGGGATTTGTCAGAGGTCACTTCATTCACTTATCTAGGGAGCATTGTCTCAACTACAGCCAGTCGGAACGGACGAGGATGTCAAATCGAACGAGAATCGGGAAGGCGAGAAACACATTCATCAACCAACTGAAACCAATCTGAAACCAATCTTCGCCACTCAGCATCAACAACAAAATTCTGTCGGATTTTTAATGCAAACGTCAAGTCAGTCAGTTCTTCTATACGGATCAGAAACTTGGTGGGCGGGTCACAAAGAATATTTCCGACAGCCTGTTGCAGACCAACCTTTATCAACAACTGTCTTCGCTGGATTTATAGTGAAGATCAGATGGCTGGGCCGGAAAGAATCACCAACAAGAAACTATGGGAGCAGACAAAACAAGAACCAATCGCCCAATAAATATGCGGGAGAAAGTGGATTGAGATGGATTGGACACTCGTTGGGGAGGCCGCTGGGTGACATCACGCGCGCGTCAGGCCATCGCTCGAGTAGAACCCGAAAGCGAAGCGGCGAGTGGGACGTCGTTGTAAGGGTGACATGGAGGAGATCGTGTGAAGAGGAGTTGAAAGAGTATGGACTAACATGGATGCAGGTGAAAAGTACAGCAGAAGGAAGACAGAAGCAAGCGGAGACGTACAGTCGGAGCTCTATGTTCCACTAGGAACCCAAGGGAACAATAATAATAATAATATAAATGCGTTTGTTTCCTAATAAGCATTGCCTTTGACCCTCATCGGTCTTTTAATCTTTACAGAACTACTGTGATGAAAAGATAAAGGTCATCCCACTTTAAATAGTTGAAGTAATTCAGTGCATGTTTTAAGGTTGCGAGTGTTGTGGCTTTAATCTCGGATACACTACAGACTGACTAACCGTCAAATGTTGTTAGGTGTGTAAAGGCTCGAAGTGTTTCTCACTTTTGCTACCTTTTTTATTTTTTCTCACTCGTATTTTGAAGTACTCAAAAGTCTTTCTAATATCAGAAATAACAATACAAGCTTTGTGCTGAAAAATGTGTTTATACACAGTAGAGAATTTTCAGAGAGTTGCATTGCGTGGTATATACTCCTTGCGCAGAATCCTTAAATAATATAATCATCATAATAATAATAATCGATACGTATATCATCCAAAGCAATGTTATTCCACCCGACGCTACTCCAATGCTACTTCACGATGTCACTCTCCTATTTCCTTCGAAAAATCCCTAGCGGTGGGTAGGGAGTTATTTTTAAGTTTGACCACGGATTGATCGCCAGTTACAGAATCATTCGGAAACACTGGGGAGAATTGGACAGGTGTTTCCTCCATCCTAGTTTGGGACTCATCGGTCGGCACGTAGACCCCCCCCCACCATTCAGCTAGCTACTGGAAGCCAACTCAACGATATGTGAATTATAACTTACGCCACCGATGACATTGGCCTGTGGTCGCGCTAAAATGAAATCCCTACAAACCAACTCTTTTTTTAGAAGAAACTTATTTGAAATAGCACGCGAATATAAAATTGTGACTCATTAGTTGGTGGTGATTAGATCACTAGAACAATATGAAACGGAGTAAGCGCGACTTATTTCGATAGGTAGAAAATTTAGGTAGTACAGTGATATTTAAGCAGACCGCCGTAGAATTTCATATTCCCCTTCTGTTGCAATAAAGTGAAGCAAGTCATTGTGTATCGTAGAAATTCAATTTCATCATAGATATGTACTAATGGACTTAACCCTAACTCACTTCAGAGACTCAGGGATTGATTTGCTACCAGGAAATAATCTCGCTGGCTTAGAATATGCAGACGATATAGTCCTTCTAGTCGAAGACGCTGTAATCTACGAATGTTTGGCATGCGATTCGCTCCCATCGGATGTAAGATGATGTTACAGGACTGGACTACACCGACTGCTAGATTAGAAATAGGAAGTGAAGTAGTATAGCACGTTGACCACTTCACTTATTTGGGAAGTACCATCAGCCAGTGTCAACGGGAAATTCTAGTATGGATACAGACGCATATGCCAGTTTACGCCGTCTCTGGCTTAGTAGACGTGATATCCGGCTATCGACCAAAAGGCGTGTGTACTGCTCATCAGTCCGCTGCGTCCTCCTTTATGCCTAGCTGTGAGACCTGGTCATTGGGAATGGGAGACATGAAAAGATTAGCTGTCTTTGATCATAGGTGCCTGTGTTCTATCTCCCGTGTTGAGTGGTATAATAAGGTGAGCAATATTGAGGTTAGGCATTGATGGAGTGCTAGATAAGGAGGGGAAATCAATCCACGAGGCTGTGAAGCTACACCGACTGAGATTGTTAGGACATGTGTTACGTATGCATAGTCATCGCCTTCCTCGACGGTCAATGTTAGCTGACATAGAAGTGATCGGGCTGGAAAAGGGTTAGCGGCGGTCAAACCAAAAAATGGCCTCATAAGTCAATGAAATCTACAACAGTTAGTTTAAGCCAACCAGTCCGCCACATAGGAAGGTAGAGACTTCCTGACTGGCTAGTTGAGGTCCTTGGGACGGTAAAAACCAATGAATGCTGAAGACAATTGGTGATATGGGTCAAAATCGTTCTGAAAGACTTATGATTTCCAATGAAACTATATTGTTCTTCGTTATTGCTATTCCCTTGTCTCACACCTCTGTTTACTGTCTCTATTATGCATTTCTTCTCTTGCTTTGTGTTCTACATGGAGTGTGGCGACTTGAACTGCCGCACATCGGTGCAAAGTTCTATGTCGAAAGCAGACAGACAGACAGTACCACAGAAAAATTCTGATTCGGAACCGGATAGAAACGAAGCATTCATACTTGTTTGCTTCTTTCTAGTGATTTTTGTAGATTTCATGATCTTTTTTTGGTTAATTTGTGTACAATATTTCAGATTTTTCTTCTTTTTTTTAAATATATCCCATCCCTAGAGGTCCTTCTGGCGCTTTGCCTGTAGCACCGACACTACAAGCTGAAGCTATCGCACTAGCTACTGAATTCGATTATATTCTCTCCTTGTACAGTGATATATCCACGGAACATGAACAAATACGCAATTTTTGGATACAATCAATAAGTTCAATGAAAAGTGATGCATCTAGTGGATTAAATCGTCCCAATGGAAATGATTTCACTGCATTGAATCTTACAGAAATGATACGTTTAGCCAGAACTGTTGTCTGTGATCAAATCGATGCCAGGGAATCAAGTATTATTCCACCTGCACTGATTAAAACTATGAAAAGTTTAACAATTCTATGTGAACGTCTTCGTGTACGTACAGATTCGAAAGGAGTTAATCAAATGCATCATAGGTAAGTGTTTTACTTTAACATTTCTAAAAATAAGGTGTGGGTGGGTGGGGAGACGACAAGTTTCCGTTGTACACCGTTCTCTGCCATCACTTGCTCTGTCGACTTCACAGCAGCCCACAAGCTTTCATTTTCTTTTTGACATGGTCTTCTCTATATCATCTTTGGTCACATCCTGATCTGTTACTTCCCATATGAGCTCCCTTTCGAGGGTCTAGTGTTATATTGATACTCAGCGGTAGATCTTATTTACAAATTTGAAGAAATTAACACTCTGTTACAAATTAAAATGAATATCACTCATTGTTGTGATTACAATAGGTTTTTGAGACACTTTTAAAGCTAACTGACTGCAGCTAGTTAACATTCGGCGGCTACAGATTTGATCTGGAATGATTTAACGAGAAATTGACTGGCTTGAAAACTAAGTGGTGGTACTGATTCTCTTCCACGGCGCATAGAACTTACCTTCCGACTTAAGTGTGATGACTGAGTTCTAACATTCATCAAAAATTAATGTTTCTGCAAATAGTATATCAAGAACTTAGGATTATTGACGGTCATTGATTTTTCTAGTATGGTGATGTATAATAACAATTACTATTGTTGTTCCTTTGGTATCCTAGTGCAACATAGGGCTTCAGTAGCACATCTCCACTTTTGTCCTATTCTCTGCGATCCTCCTAAGCCGCCCCCTCCCATGTCTGCTCGTAGTCTCAACTCCTCCTCTCACGATCTCTTTCTCGGACACCCAACTCACTGTTTTCCATCCGGGTTCCATTCAAGCGACACCGTGGCGCATGATGTCCTCAGCGTATGTCCAATCCATCTCCATTGTCTTCTGTGTATTTGTTGAGCAATGAGTTCTTGGTTGGTTCATTCCCAGAGTTGTCTGTTGCTAATTCTTTCTGAACAGCCGTCTTATCTTCGGTACGGAGTGAAGCCAGCTGTTGATAAAGGTCTGCAGCATGCTGTTGGAAAATGCTTTTCGTTTCTGGCCTATAGAGAATAACTGACTGATTTAAAATTGGCGTTAAAAATCTGAATTTTGTTGTTTATGCTGTTATTATTATTATCTAAACGCAGAAAAAACTTGGTACAATGTGGCACCAAGAAAGATGCGCCACACAAAATTTCATTTGTTGTGTAAGGGCTGAGATACTGCCCGGGAGCCCAGACCGAAGCAGATGGTTTTCTTAAGGGACCACCCCCCGAGCCTTTGACTTGGAGTCTAATCCGCAAGGCAGCGGAGCAGCGTCAGGAGCTGCATTCCCATGGTTTCCGGTGAGTCATATGGGTTCATCCTATTGGATTCTGGAGCCCATGTACCCCATGGTAACTGCTTTTAGTCTAACCGCTATCCAAACAACCTTCCTGACATGGTAGGATCTGCAGAGACATGAGTCCCAGCCAGTTTAGCTTGTTAAGTCACTGCATTATTCAAGCCCAACCACCACGGCAAGGTAGCAGTTGTCGGCTGAGTGCAGACGATTTCTAAACTGGTTTCAGTTTGATGCAGGTGTATCTTGCCTTTCCGATTCTGGCTGGTCAGCTTTGACATTTCTCTTTCAACAACGAAATATATCGCCAAAAAGATGGTATAGCTATGGGCTCACCATTAGGCCCACTGCTTGCAGATTTCTTCATGGCTAAGTCCTGAACTCTGCATACAGAAGAAGTTCGTTCAATCACTGCACTTGCAATGGACGTAATCTCTCTTACTACACGACAGGTAAATTCTACCTAATCTTTTTTTCTGTCTCTTCATTACTATTATTTTATCTTCTCAACTTTCTTATTCTCTACCCCCACCCGATTTGATTTCTACACCTCACTACCACTGTTACTGACTTGACCAATGTTCATTTTCTAGTTATTTATGTTACGTCATCCAACTTAATTGCTTAATTTCAGTTCTAATTTAAATGGCATTATTCTCTGCCTCACTTCTATTTACTCTCTACCTGTAATTCCCTCTGTTGCTGCCCTGACCTAAGTTGAAACATTGTAGTCAATTATATTACGTCATCTAACTTACCAACTCAATCTTACTTTAGTTGCTGTCTGATTAACCTTGTTTCTATATTAGATCATTCTTGTATTACCTGATCAATTATCTAAAATTGACAAACCTCATGTACACACACACACACAAATAATTATATATAAATGCGATTGTACAGCTATATGTGAATGAATTCGCCGGCGAAAAGAGTCTCTTCGCTGAACGTCTTCTCTCTTTTTCATATGATTCAATGGGGGGGGGATTTTTAGCTAGTTTGAAATTTTCATCTGTTCTACCTGTAGCTGAAACGATGCCTCCTAGATAAGTGAAGGAGGTAACCTCTGTCAAATCTCTCCCGTTGATGGTGATTGGTGATGGTTGTTGTCGCTGTTGATTGGTTATCTTCGTCTTCTCTCTGTTCACCTGAAATAGTGTCTCTCTGCTTTCCTCTCCAGCCAGTTTGTTGCTTTTCGCCTGCCTACAGGTCTTCCAGTTTGTGTGGCATTCGACTTGAATCGTCTGCGAGATTCATATCTTTTAAAGGCTTCTCATCGGTCTAACGTGTTCTTGTTTTTGTACTCCCCACAGTCTGACGTATATTCCAGTCCATCACAACTAGGAATGTCATTGGTGATGGTAGAAAGCCTTGTCTTACTCCTGTTTTCCTTTCAAAGGCTTCTCTGAGTGTTTCATTGTGCGTCACTTGACACATGGGATTGTCATATATCGGCTAAATGTGCAGCTGATAGAGTTTGGGGGCACTGCATTCCACAGTTTGAAGTAGTTCCAGATTAATTCGCAGTCAGCACTAACGAAAGCCTTTTCAAAATCAATGAAATTGAAATAGAGTGGCTTATCGTAATTTCTCCATTTCAAGCATTACTCATGATGATTGCAGTCAAGTGTACTGACTTGGTTGGTATTTACGTGCTGTAGCTCAATCGGTAGAGCACAGGATTAGTAACTTGAATAAATCTTTACGTTGTTATCTTGTGTTTTCAGCCATCTGACTGTAACTCAGAGTATTGTAACACATTGGAGTTTTAATGAAATAAGCATGCGTAAAACAAACTTCCTAGCCACTTCAGTCGAGTAACATGCACAAACACACACACAATCGAGTAACACAATATTTTATACTTAACATTCTATTCCATCCCATCCGCGTTAATGTCCGAGTGATACTGGTTTATGGGTTCGTCTGACTTGACTAGAATGCGCCTCTAGAACACAACACATTAATCAACTGATCACGTAAAGTTGTCTTCAACAATAATGAGACGGGCTAGGAGAAGGTAGGAAGAAGGGTATGTCGATTGCAACAATGTTTTATTCAACAAAATACATGGTAAATCACATTTTTTTAAAAAAACCTCAGAAAATTAAGCCATGAATAAACGAATCAAAACTGTTCAATCAGATTGTAATGATAATGATAGTGATTTGCTTTACTCTTGTTTTCAGCAGTGTATGCATAAATCACAACTTTATAGCTAACAAAAGGAAGCTTGTCTATTCTAAGATGTTCACATTTAATGTGATAGTTTCGTTAAAAGACAGAAGTTCAGCGAAGAGTCTTTTTTCACCGGCAAATTCATTTGCATCGCTGTAAAATCGCAAATATATATATATATGGTTGTTTTGTATGTGTGTGTATATATTAAAATCAAGTCACAATACCAACAAAGAACCATCATCAAAGAGTACAAGAAAATTCATCCTACCATACATGAAAAATATCTCTGAAATAACAGCTAGAATACTGAAACCGTTTGATATAGATATAGCACACAAGCCAGTCAGTTAAATCGCTTAATTCGATATTCTGCAAACCGAAAGACACATCCAGCAGAAAAAGGAGAAAAATTTAAATCATTTCACTTTATGCTAAATATTGCACTGAAGATGTTATCTAGCAGGGAGACGACGAAAGCTCCGCCGCAACTAAACCAACCAGCTCAGAGAACACTATTAATTGCAAATCATCCACCTGAGCTACAAATCTTCTCTAATATTGATTTATTTTATTCCTTTACGTTCCCAAGCTAGAGGCTTGAAGTTTCGGTAACAGTGGTGTTTATTTTTACGGGATGGGGTCGCTAGTCTGTCTGATGCCTAACCTTCCCTCTTTACTAGTCTTACTACTGGCGTAGCGAAGTAAAGGAGTGAGTGCGTCTATAGTCGGGGATCGAACCCCAGACCATGCGCTTGGCTGGCGAGCATTCATTCTACCGCTGTGCCACCGATGCAACGTAATATTTCTTTTCATTGCTTTAAATGAATGTATTGAAAAGGAACCCATGAAGAAGCGGACCATTGTTAAATTTGGGTGTTTGTCTTTTGGGAGTTATTGCATCGCATTATTTGAATTGAATCAACCAATCATGCACTAGAAAACCATGTGTGAACTGAAGGAGTTACCAGGCAGCTTTAGGTTTTTCTGGTTAACACTTTGTTTTAACTCATATCGAAGTCCACCTTATTAATTATTTTACTTTTTGATAGCGTGTTATTTGGGATGTACACTTATTTTTTTTGCTGAAATACTTTTTCTTCCTATCTAGATTCTCCAGTGACCAGTCACCCAAAGTAAAGGTCGTGATTGAACCTGGTAAGTTACTGTCAGAAGAGGTTCTCTTTTGTGCGTGGGTGTTTGCGTGGTATGTTTTGTACTCAATACAACTTTGCCGAATTTCATTTTTAAGTCGAAGTTTACGTATTATTTCGATCACCCTTGTATGTATGTATGTATGGTATATGCTTTGAGTTGTCTAAGTGCAAAGTCCTGTAGTCACTCTTGCAGATGGTGAACCGCCTGAAGTTGTTGTGTCTTTCTAGCTAGTTGGTTCCAGTGCTGGCGGAGGTGTGACGGACGATATCTCTTCACTGTATAGTGAAATCTAAGTCGACATACGCTAATTTGGACCACATCTAGTGCTGTTAGCCTGACTGTCAAAGGTTGGGTTTTCAATGCTTCGGTGCATGCAGTCGTGCTCAACACCTGTGAAAATTCACCTCTCCGAGTTCAGGATGTGCAGTGACTCTGCATATTCGACCATCACTGTCTCCACGGAATTGTCTGCGTTCGATGACATCATCGTATGAGTAGCTGTGAGTTCTGGGGGAGCGTGTGCTTGGGATCACCATTCATTGGTTGTCGTCATCTAGAAGAACATCGGCTTCGATGGCTTGGACTGGACATGCCTACGAATGTTGTTCCAAAGGCTTCCGTACCAGTTTGTGTTCACCACCCCTTGAAGTGGATAAAAAAGGCGGAGAGGTGGTCACCCTATGACGTGTGGCATCGTGGGATGAAAGATACTTGTAGTAGGTTAGCATCGGTTGGTACGTCACGAATTCCTGGTTGGGTCCGAAAGGATTGTTGAAATTCGTGGCTCAAAATACTATCAAGTTTCTTGATTATATATCAGACAAACAATTAATTTTTATGTGATCCTGATTGTAGCTAACTGAAATTCCATCGGTGTCTGGTGAATAAATATCAACATTCTTTCATGAGACTATTTAAAATAAATAACTTGCTACATTACTATATCCACAACGGAAAACTTAGCGAGGGGTTCGAAGTGAATACAGGAGTAACACAAGTTGGCTAGCTGCCTATTATCATCGATGATATTTTCAATTCTGCTGGACTGGATTATGCGCCAGACTGTGTATCGGGAATGAGAAGACAGGAATACCGTTGGACCACCAATGAGGAGACTCTAGAAGATCTGGATTTTGCGTGTGAATGATTTATGTGCAATGCCACCTATCTAGGTATCATCATCATTTCCACTACAGGCAATCGGAACGGATGAAGATGTGAAAGCCAGTCAAATTCGGAAAGGCAAGATACGCCCCATCAACCAGCCAGCACAAGGAACAAGATTCGAATTTTAAACAGAAATGTGAAGGCAGTCAGTTCTTCTATACTGGTCAGAAACTAGCACTGTAGATCACGAAAAGGATTCCAACAAGCCATTGCAGACTTTTATCACCAGTTGCCCATTTCGCCAGCTCTATATTGCGGATCAAATGGCAGGTCAGCCAGAAAGAATTCACCAGAGGAAACTCTGTCTGGGAAAAAACCAATGAAGAGCCGATCGCTCAACAAATATGGAGGAGAAAATGGAGATGGATCGGGGGCATACATTGAGAAAACCGTCGAATGACATCGCGCGCAATGACGTCGTTGCTGGAGTGAAATCCGAATAGGAAGCGACGAGTGGGTCATCCGAGGGTGACATGAAGGAGATTGTGTGAGGAAGATATGAGAGATTATGCGCGATCGTGGAGTTAGCCAACTGAAGAGGACGGCAAAAAATAGAACAAAGTGGAGATGTGTTTTTGAAGCCCTATGTTCCCCTCGGAACCCAAAGGAATAATAATAATAATACAAATAACAATCAACACTACGGAGCGCTCCGAATTTTTATCAACATCATTGAACAGCTGTATGATGTTGATGATGCTTCATATCAAGGCATTCACAACAAAAAGCTCAACGATGACTTTGAGTGAAGACAGGAGTAAGAAAATACTGTCTACTATCACCAATGATATTCCTTATTATGGTCGACTGGGTCATGTGGCAGATTGTGAGAGGCGAGAGAGCGGCAACAACTCGGGCACTACAGGAAGACTAAAAGATTTGGAATTCATAGAGGAGAAAAAGGCGATGATAATGCCTAACCAACAACAGCAAGCACAGATCGATATAAACGCGAGAAACTTAATAATGGGTCATTATGATATGTATCCACATAATATGTGTGTTTGTTTTTGACAGTCTGTTATATTTTGCTATGTATATATGGATCGATATTCCATTATAATTGACAATATGTTTTTGTCTGTCCACTAACTAAACAAACAGGTCTGACTTTGTTGTCACATGACATTACAACCAATCATGTTAAGACTGTCTATTGATTCGTTCATTTTTGAACATTCGCTCATACACTTGTATGACATTGATTTTCCTTGTTTGATAATACAAGTATCATCGTGAACCTGGTGGTTTTCTGATTTCCGCCTTCTTGCGTCAGGACTATTAATTACTCGACCAGTACATAACACATTAATACATTGAGTAACAACTTACTGAGTTCAACTCAAATCATAGAAACAAGAGACAAGCACAATTACCCTATATCCAAATATGGAGGGGGGGTTGAGGTCAAAGCTAAAGATTACGTAATCAAATGAAAGAGTGAGTATTGACATCCAGTAACCAGGTAGCAGGGCAAGGCAAGACTGATAATTGCTTCTTTCTGAATACATAAATCTGGTTCCAGGCGCCTGACAGTGATTGTTTCTGCAAGCTTCAGGAGAATTAAACTATCGTGTGTATATATTCATGATCCATATATCAATGAGATTCCTGGCAGTGGCATTATTTATTGAAAGTGCTTGTTCTCGTGAAATGTCAGCTTTTTGGTATATGTTCTTTCTCATAATATTATCGGCCTGTTATATTTATTCTTTTCATTTATTCTATTTACTCATTTCAGCTGATCGTTCAACATTCATCGACTACTTGAAAGCTTCAAAACGTCCACGCACAAAGATGGAGAAATTAGACTTTGTCGGTGTACTAACTGCCGATTCAAAGGGTGTATGTCAGTTGTATAAAAATTTAAAAGATAAAGAGAAATCTGTTACTAATGCTGATTAGTCTTTTTTTTTTAGAAAATTTCTTTTTACTACACTGCTGCTGCTTCGGTTGCACAGTTTGTAGGATGCTTGCCAACTACGCCTAGTGTGGTCCGAGGCTCGATCCCCAACCAAAGACACACTCCTTTAGTAAGACTGATAAAGAGGGATAGTTGCGGGTGGGGAGGTATGAGTCTACCAACCCCATCCATCCCGTAAAAATAAACACCACTGTTACCGAAACTCCAAGCCCCTCTAGCTTGAAAGCTTTATGTTCCACTGGGACGTAATGGGAAAAAGGAACTGCTGGGCACATTTAACATAATTTTATAAGAAACATTTTAGTGACGGTGAAGTGTGTACAAGTAGGTTAAGTTTACACGACTTACCAATGTATTTCCACATAAAACATTGGTGAAATAGACGATCTCCTAGAAGGATGGTAGACTTGATAGTTGAAGAAATCACTCGGTCTCTGTCTACTTAATGGGATGCGTAAACAGACACATCCAAGCGGGACTATCTTGATTAGATTTAATTCCTTCGACAGTATCTAATGCTGTTAATCAAGAGCTGTCGTACTGCGTTATTGTAGAGAGAGAGAGAGAGAGAGAGACTGGAAGTATACTGTTACCGAGTCACTATATAATAATAATTTCCTCTATTCCAAAACAGTGCTTGTGATACAGAATGGAATTCTCAGCATTTCACTACAGTATTGCATCCAGTTTGTACATTAACAATAAATAAAATTCTACATAGATTAAGGAAGTATCAGTTCATTATGACAACAACATATTAGCATGTCGGTAGCAAAGCCAACATTGAACAGAGTGTTTGGTGTTAGAAAAGTAGATGCTAGCATATTTACTGGCGTAAGTGGTAACAAAAAGGTCAAGATATAAAGAGTGTGAAAGAACGAAGAAGAATGTTTTAAGTAGAATTTGTAAGGAAGAGAGAAACAAAGCAGCACATTAAAGAAAAAAAAGAGAAAAGGAAAAGAAAGAAAGAAAACGTTGTACCTATAAATGATATGAGTTGGAAAGACGAGATCTAGTTGTTCCACTCACGTCTAATGCTTTCTTTGTCACACAGAACACGAGCTAAGTAGGGTGTGGTTGAGTTTTTGTACTTGCTAGTGCAAGCATATAGTTTCCTATATAGGCTTCTGGTCTTGCCTGATGAGATACAAGGGGAGAGTTGTGAATGAAGAGGGTGGTATGAGTTAGATAAAATGGATTTCGCCCATTTTTCACATGAGTCCAAATGCTTGTCGACCAGAATATTAACAAGCTGGTTAAGTGGCACGTTGCTTACCCTACTGACAACCTTTAACATCCTGCGTAATAAGATATAGTCCTTCTTCAGTAGCCCTGGAAAAACTAAGGGGGAAAAATAGAGAACAATAGGCAGGATGCAAGAGTTAACGAATTGTGAGAGTTGGGTCATTCCGGAATGTCTTAACTTCTTGATGTAGACGGTAAGACGGAATATTTTCTTAAAAATCATCAAGATATGGGGCGACCAGGAAAGATCAGCAGATAGAATGACGCCTAGCTATTTAATTTCCGACTTGGTCTCTATTTCAGTGCCATTTGTGTTGCACACCTCGTGAGTGCTAACCGGTTTGTTTAAGTTAGATTTATGCCTAAAGGTGAAATTGACTGTTCTGCATTTAGAAGGATTTAAGGTAAGACCGTTTTCCTTGGACCACTGGCTGATTTCTGATAAAAAGCCATTTAGTTTAGACCAGTCACTTTGACATTTGACAGGTAAAGATACAGTTAGGTCATCAACATATGTGACAAAATTAATGTCATTTGAAGATGGTAGGTCATGTAGAAAGAAAGAAAAGAGAAGTGGGGAGAGTAGATCACCTTGGGGGACACCAGCTTCAGTGAGCACAGCAGAGGAGGATTTGCCTTTGTATACAGTATACTGCATTCTGTTTGAAAAGTAGTAATGCGACCAGTTAGTGACCCAGGACTCAGTTTATGTCATCGAGAGCTTATTTAGCAAGAGACATCTAGGTACAGAGTCGAATGCAGAAGAAAAGTTGAGAAACGTGCAGCGGACGTATTTGGCACCTTTATCGAATGATGAGACGATACTGTTGTGTAAGACGGCTGCAGCGTCTAAAGTGCTTCTACTCTGTCTGTAGGCAAATTGTTTGGGGTCTTCGAAGCTTTTAAGGGAGGGTTCAAGTTTAAGAAGTACTAGTTTTTCCAAGAGCTTTAGAAACGCGGAAGTAATGGCAATGGGTCTGAACTTTACGTTCATGCTATTTCCAGATTTAGGACAGGAACTATTTTGAATGTCTTTCCATGCAACAGGTACAACGTTTTTGGAAAAACTCATATGACCGTGTAGTATAGCTTAAGAAGAGTTGTCATCTAAAAATGACAGCAACTATTATGTCCATGTTCACTTAATTTGATGATGATAGTGAGTCGTATGGACTTAGACGTCTCAAGAGTTGATTTTTCATTGAAAACAATATTTTTGAGTTAGAGTAAGCAACTAATTGAGTTCACTTAGATGAAGCTGCTGGTAAAATATTTATTTTATTCTTTATTTTTGATTACATACTGTATTTTTGCTACAAGTATGGAATTTTCAGCATGGATATCGGTAGCCCAAATTTCGCAGGCCGACCATAGATATCAGCTGTGCACCGGCAGGGGATCGAACCTCGGACGATGTGTATGGTCGGCGAGAGTCCTAACCACTGTGCCACCGACGCACACAATGCCAAATTGTGGCAACCAAAAAATTGGTCTGTGTGAGTGGAGGACGTTTTGAGCATTATAAGCAGAACGCTTACTGATCTGTACTAAGGTTTAGTTAGTTTACTGATACAGAAGTATCAGTCTTTTACAGCCTGATATTGATATCACAATATCTTTACAGAATTAAAAATATCGTTTGGCTTTTGTTAACACTTGTATCATCAAATGTACAGGAGAAATATATCCGATAACCTAAAAAGCATTTTACTTTGTTCTACCTTCTATATACTTTGTGACAGTAAAACATAAAAAAATATTATTGATTTAAGGTGTCTCTGTTTAATTTCTCGAATTAGATAAGACAACGCCAGTAACTGAAGCTGTATCGATTGAGGTGACTAAGTCAAATGTTAAGCATGCAGAACTTCTGCCCTTCTTAATGACCAGTATCAGCTATAGAGCACGATTATGACTGGGTTATCGTATCAATAAGATATTAGTGACTGTTGGTTGGTTTGACTATGTTCCACAGGCTGTTAAGAATCAATAGTTGAAGACTCTTCACACACATACACATCAGAATTAGCAACAATGGTGCGCAAGTACACACATATTTTATCATCGAAATTCCTAACCTTTTTTTTAATAGGTTATTTCCCCCTCATGTTAAGAGAGTTGTCATCTGAAGCGGCGACAAATAGGGATGTCCACCGTCTTTATTTCTGTTTAATTTCCTCATAGATGTACTAATGGACTTAACCTTAACTCACTTCAGCAACTTAGGGATTGATTTGTTACCACCAAATAAATGATGCCATTGACTTAGAATATGAAGATGATATAGTCCTTCTTGGCGAGGACGCTGACGAAATGCAGAGTATTCTGACCACCTTGAGCTGCAATCTACTAATGTTTGGCATGCGATTTGCTCCCGCCAAATGCAAGATGTTACAGGACTGGACTAAACTGACTCCCAGTTTAGAAATAGGAGTCAAGTGGTAGAGCACGTTGACCGCTTCACTTATTTGGGAAGTTCCATCAGCCAGTGCCAACGGATTGATCTCTGACGAAATCTCAGCACGGATACAGAAGACTCGTTTGGCACGCGCCATCTCTAGCTTAGGAGACGTGATATGCGGCTACAGACCGAAGGGCGTGTGTACTACTCACCAGCTCGTTCTGTCCTCCTTTATGGCTGTGAGAAATGGCAATTCAAAGTGGGAGATATGTAAAGGTTAGCTGTGTTTGATCAAAGGTACCTCTGTGTTCTATCTCCTGTGTGAAGTGGTATAATTAGGTGAGCAATGTTAAGGTTAGGCATTGGTCGAGCGCTAGATAAGGAGAGGAAATCAATCGATGAGGTCGCGAAGTTACATCGAATGAGATGGTTAGGAAATGTGTTACCCATGCTTGTCTAGCTATCGCCTTTCTCGGCGTGCAGTGTTAGCTGGAAAAGAGCCAGTGGTAGTTGAACGAAAACATGACTTCATCAGTCAATGAAATCCACAACAGTTAGTTTAAGCTAGTTGTTATGTTCTGCTGAGTGGTTAATAGTCCTGACGCGGAAAGGGTAAAATCAGAAGACCACCAGGTTTACGATGATACTTGCATTTTCCAAACAAGGAAAATAAATGACTGTCACACAAGTGTGAGAGTGGAAAGGTACGTAGTGTACGAAATGTGTGAACAAGTATACAAAGCAAGAGTATAAATGAAAATGACTAATACACATGAATCAATAGAAAGACAGTCCCACCATGATTGGTTGTATTGTCATGTGACAACAAGGTCATACACTGTTTATTTAGTTAATGGACAGACAGAAGCATATTGTCAGTTATAATGGAATATCGATCCATATACACATGGCAAAATATAACAGACTGTCAAAAACAAAACACACATCGTGTGACTACAAATCACTAGTCACTTAGGGAGGTGTAGGCTTCCTGACTGACTGGTTGGGGTCCTTGTGATGGTAAAAATCAATGACGGCTGGAGACAGTTAATGATATGGCTCAAAATCCTCGCTCTCAATGCCTGATGCAGATGCATCCACTCGTTGTGATTTATAATATCCAATAAAATTCCTTTGTTCTTCCATTTCACTATCTTTTTGCTCCATATTTATGTTAATTATGTCTGTTTTGCATCTCTCTACTGTTGGTTTTTGAGCTACACGGAGAGAGTGTGACGACTCGAACTGGTGCATATCGGTGCAAAGTTCTACGTTGAAACCAGTCACTTAGTTAGTCTCCCCTCACGTCCGTCTTACATTGGTTCGTTTTTTTGTTAATGTGCTACTTACTTAGATGTATGCAGTAGTATATTGTGTATGTGTTAATTCGTGTCACACGATCAAGCGTAATCGTTTGTAGTTGGTCCTAAAAACTGACATCTTTATCATTTAATTGAAATATACGCTACGCCTTGATATCAATCAGCATTTATATTCAAGTGTCGGTTTCTAGGGATTTGGTTGGTTACAGGATTTCATCATGAGCCGACACTGTAAAACCTGCGAGTACTGGACAGCTGTTTCATCCTAGTTTGGGACTCTTCATCAGTACGCACCCAAGCCAGGGTTCGAACTCAGGACCTTCTGGTCACAATGGTATACGAGCTCGCCTTGTAACCAGAAGGTCCCGGGTTCGAACCCCAATGGGTGCGTACTGCTTAAGAGTCCCAAACTAGGACGAAACAGTTGTCCAGTATTCTAAGGTTTTCCGATGGTTCTCTAACCATTGTCAGCTCATGATGAAATCCTGTAACCAATCAGCATTTAGTTTCAGGTCCATTAACCAGTCCAGTGCTACCAATTTGTAAGATAACAACATAAGTTTTTTATTACAAATAAAATAATAATGACTTTTAAAATCTAATTTTTCCAAAAAATGTTAAAAACGTCAAAAGAAAAGAGTTTTATTATATTGATAAAAAAGAAGCGAAAACACCGTTTACAAAAATTACAAATTCTCTTCAATCAAATTAAATCGTGGATACCGGTACAACGACTAGGGTTCGTCCACTATCAGCAATACTAATAACATAGGATCCACCGGCAGGGATTGTTTTCTGTGCTTTTAGATTAATTGGTGTCAAGCGCATATGTTCTCCGCTTTGTTGATTAGCGATCAAATATAATTCGGTTGATTTATATGATTTAAAATCACCACCAGTAACACCAAGAGGAACTAATTCTTTTGTCCATTGACGTAGAAGCGCAGATAAACGTGATGAATTTGAACTTCGCATATTTACAGAAGACGGTGGCAAAAGTTGAACGGATCGTTCATATTTAGCAGTCCATGGATTTACAACTCGTAGATAACTCTAGCATCACATCAGTGTATAGTGACAAAAAATAAGAAACAAACAGAAAAACAAATTATCTTTAATAACTGCTGTATCATTATTGATAGCGGTCAGCAAGTGGACAAAAGTGGTGCCTTCAAAGTTACCTATCGCATTCCATCGAGCCTTCCAGGCGGAATTCGAATCCGTCTTTGACACATAGCCGAAGCTATGGAAATTCGAGAGAACAATCCTTAGTCCTTAAGGCTTCTGCAGATTAGTGGGCGACTGAAGAACACTATTCTTAGTGTTACTGCAAAGAATGTTCTCAGAGATGAAGTGGTCCTTCTCTTAAGAATATCGCTTGTTAAATCTGCCTTGAAATCCAAGTTCACGTAGAGTTTCTTTTTCGGCGAATCGAAGTTTCGTTTCTCTGAATTGTTACTACATCTAGTTTTCTTGACTGATTTTGTATTACGTCACTCCAATTACCAATCTCCACCTGTTTAGTTAAAATAACAATAATCAATTGTAATTTTGTTTGACAAACTTGATGTACACATACATACAAAATAACACATACTTGTATTTGTCATTGTACAGCTAAGAAAATGAATTCGCTACCGAAAAGAGACTCTTCGCTGATCTACGTGTTTTGTTTTCATTTCTGCTTTGTCTCATTTTCTGTGGTCCTCTTCATCTGGCCCATGATTACCCATAGATCCTTAATCTCTTGGTCACACGATCTCCTCCTTGTCATCCTAGGATTTTTCACCAGTTGTTTCCCACTCAGGTTCCACTAGGGTGGGGTCTAGCGCGAGATGTCTTTTAAAGGTCGCCTCAACGTGTATCGTATCCATCTCTATTTTCTTCTGTGTAATTGTTAAGCATTGGGTTCTTGGTTGGTTTATTCCACGAGTTTCTTGTTGCTAATTCTTTCTGGCCAACCATTTGATCTTCAATATGGAAAGAAGCCAGCTGTTGTAAATGCTTTTCGTTTCTGACCTATATAGAAGAACTGATTGACTCAACATTTGTTCTTTAAGCAGACTGACGATTTCCAAACTGGTTTCAGTTTGATGAAGGCGTATCTTGCCTTTCCGATTCTGACTGGCTAGCTTTGATATTTTCATCGTGCTGCCTGCCTGTAGTTGAAACGATGCTTCCTAGATAAGTGAAGGAGGTAACGTCTGTCAAATCTGTCCTAGTGATGGCGACTGGTTGTTGTAGCTACAGAAGACCGAGGTTTACTCGAAGTCCTGTCTTTGCTGTTTACATCTCCCACCCATCTGGTAGTTGTCATCGCGCCTGTAAGTCTTCGAGTTTGTGCGATATCATGCATAAATCATCCGCGAAATCAATATCTCCCTAGAGTTATATCAGTTCAATGTGTGTATTGTCTTCTCGCCTCCCCCCCCCCCACAGTCTGATGTTTAATCCAGTTCACCACAAGTAGGAATATCATCGATGAATTAGTCAGTAGTCAGCCTTGTCTTACCCACTGTCTTCACATCACAGAGTTTTCCATTGTGAATCACCTGATACGTGTCACTGTCATACATCTGTTGTGACTGAGGTTACTAGACATCCCGGGACACTGCATTAGTGTTTTGAAGCAGTTTCTAAATGACTTCACAGTCAACGTCATCGAAGGCATTTTCAAGGTCCATGAGATCGAGGTAGGGAGAGATCTTCAATTGTCATCTTATACTCTGTTCGATGATCCGCACGTGATTTGCTTTTTCTGAATCCACTTCTTCCGGGAAGCGGCGTTCTGCATCTAGTGCATCATTTAGTCTCTTCACGATAACACGACGTAGTGTTTTACTTGGCGTGAACAATAGCACGATTCCGTTTCTAACTGTATATACAAAGCTGAATTTACAATACATTAAACAACAAAAAAAAAAACTCCCAACTAACCTGGTCACCGAAAACTACACGTCCGCCAACAGACAGTAATAAATTCGACATGTTAAATGTTGACACATTCTGTAAGAGGAAAAAGAACCACTCTCAATACAACAAACATCTGAATAGAGTAATTATTTTCATGTGAAGAAAAATAATATCACGAATGTACAATACGGAAGGGCGAAATCTTCAAATAAATACAACGGAATTATGTATAAAAAAAAGCCTTGTCAGGAGGTTAGGCCGTTTAACGATGCTTCAAAAACTGGAACACTGCTGATTCAGGTGCTGTTATAACAAGATTTCAACCTCAACTCTAATCACCATCCTCTTACACAACATGATGTTGAAGCAAGCTAGTCTCGAGACTGTCCACACAACATAACCCTAGAAGGAGTGTTTTATGACTCCCCACCTTTCCGTGTTTTCCTGGATAAGAGATAAAATAACACAACACAATAAAACAGAACGAAGGACTTAGACGCACTACACACACTAGTTACTGGCTAATTTCCAATCGAAAATATCCAATACACTCTTACTGGAGGAGGTCGTCAAAGGCGAGTCCGAATAGCTCAGTGGTGACTGCAGCACTACTGACTGGGGTGATGTGGATTCGAATTCCCGGAAAGGACATGAATTCCTTCAAGGTTACAGATACGCCTTGCTGATTGACTGCCAACTAGCATGAAACCTAACCTACGCCCCACCAGTAGGGGGCTCTCTCTGTGTGTGCTTATTGCCTCCAATCATCTAATAACAAGAACAATTCGAAGTGCACCGCCTTGATGGCGAGCCGCCCAGAATAGTGGCCGCATTATAAACAAAGGCTCTCATCGTTCTTTGTGGTGACAGAGTGATGTGAAGATGACTCGTTAGCCTGCAGAATAAAAGTAACTGTAGTAGAGAAGCAAGATGAGGTAGGTGATATGAGTAAAGGAGAGTGATGCTCAGGGAGGTTTCGTGTGCTTTTGGAAGTGTATGGGCGGTTGTTACTTCCCGGCTGCATACACTGTGGAAGTTGATTGATTCTTCCGGTACCTAAACCAGAAAGAGTGTTGCGTGACCGCAGAGCCCAGAGGACAACTGCTTGAGGCCGGTCACACATGGCCTGCATTAACTGGTCTGTTGGTTTGGTTCCGTACCAGTAAACTTACCGCTGGTTACGGACCACCTTAGGTTAAGTCGGGGATGTACAGTTTTCGGGGTCGACCTCTTCTAAACCACTCCCTCCGGAGTGGAGATACAGCATAGCTGGCTGGCATGCTGGTCATCTGAGGGAAATACCTCACTGTGGCTGTTACACCCCTGTTCCCCAGCATAGTGTAAGAAAGATTCTTATACTAGACCGGGTAACTGCTTCCAGTTTAATCGCTATCCTAACAACCTTCCTAGTATGGTAGGTAGGATCTACAGGAACAATGGTTTCAGCCAGTGCAGCTTGTTGGGTGGTCATCGCAATGTGCAACCCCGATGATCACCGACAACATCAAGGTAGCAGCTATCGGTCGGGACAAACAAAGGACTACAGGCTACTCACCTAGTATCCAGTCAAACAAAACAACAACAAAAGCAAAAACAAAAAGACTTACAGCTTTAAAAGATCTAATCATGCATTTAGCCTGTAAATCCCATATGACTACAGTACCATCCATATCATAGGTGACAAGACGATAATTTGCCAACAATGATGACGATGATGATGGCGATAACTTATTACAATTGCTACGATTTTTAGCAAAATACTCATTATTATCATCAGCATTAATTCTTGTAAAAAGTTGTAAGTATATTGAACCCGGATGAACGCGTCTTGATAACCTTTTACTTTGACCTGAATTCAATACAATCGGCTGCTGCTGGTGTTGGTGATGTACTGTTGAAGCAATTCCAAAACCACCATTGCTAAGAAAAGTTAACTCAACTAAACGTATTTCAAGAGGTTTTATTAAGCATTTATCTTCGGAATTATTTATAATATGGTTGATGTTATTGTTGTGGTTAGTGGGAAGAGGAGTGGTTGTATTGACTAACAGGTCTAAATAACACACGTATAATGATCCGGAAGCATGACTGACACCAAGTGCAAACTAGAAGAGAATTGGGAATCAAGAAGGGATTAGCAATACAAAAGTAGGCGATTAAAACAAGCAATAGAAAAATTTTTTTAGAGAGAGAGAGCATGTGGTTTGGTTATATTATAATTGGCTTTGAAAAATGGGACAGCAGAGTAGAAAGAACAGAAAAAAAAATTGGATGGTTGGTTAACCAAACAAACAAAAAAGTTTGTGAGTAAACTAAACCTTTTTCCTTCTTTTTACAACATAAAATATAGAGGTGGCCGTTGAGAGTAACACAAATGAGCACACTGAATGATTTAATTTATACATATATATACACACACACACCGATGATCGAAAAGCGGTTTAGGTGATTCAGAAATGAGATCAAAATATAAAAATGAGATTGTTAATTTACATTTTTTGTAAAAATAAAAATTTTCCAAGTGACACAATGTTAAAGGATGATGATGGTAATAGTAATAATAATAATAATAATTAATCCACATACGAACTCTGTTGTCGATCAATAATGACGTACGATTGTTTGTCAATACATTCAGAGAGTGAACAATTCTCTCTCGACGCTTTTTTAATTTTTACTTTTTACATAGAACTGTACAAATCATTAGTGTGTATTCGATTTAAATTAGACCTTCAAAATTTGAGAAATATGAAATGTTTTTATTAGATAAATTGTATAACAAGAATGACCGGATTTATAAAATCAAAATTATCAAGGATTTTGTAGAATTCAAAATCAATCCTAAAAGTGGGATTTAATTTTATCATCAATCACATAGAAGATGTCTTAATGCAGTGTCGAAATTACAGAAACAAATGCAAGGTATGCTTGGAGAATTTATGCTGTATAAACGTTATGTAGATGATACTCTTATTATTGGTAATAATAGTAAATCTATTGAAAACTTTATTACCCTATTTAATCATATTCATCCAAATATTCGAGTGACTTCCGAACTAGAATCGAATAACAAACTCGGTTTCCTGGATATTACTATGACCAGGAGAGATGATGGAACGATTGAGCGATCTATTTTTCGTAAACAGACATGGAGTGGACAATATCTTCATTTTACCAGTTTTGTTCCTATCCAGTATAAACGTTCCCTAGTGAAATGTTTGTTCTAAAGTGCCCGAAAAATATGCACGAGTGACACACTGATGGATGAGCTTCGACATGTACATTCAGTTTTATTAGCTAATGGTTATCCGGAAAACTTCATCAATTGTTACGTAAGGATAGACCATATCTCGAAAAGACAGCTTCTGTCTTTATTAACCTACCATTCAAGGGTGACCAGATTATGCAGTTCAAAGACAGCTCAAAGACTTCGGTCAGCTATCAAACGGACATTCTACGCCGCATCTCTTTTTCTCACTTGCCGAACATTTTCGATCCCTGTTCCTACGATTAAAGGACAAAATTCTATGGACTCTACTTCAAACTGTATCTACAAGTTCACCTGCAGCTGCGGTGACATCTATATAGGTAGAACCAACAGAATCGTCCAATGTCGTCGAAAAGAACATGTTCCAAAATGGCTACTAAATCATATGGAAAATCCCAGTGCGATTAATCTGAATAGAAATCCAGCATCATCATCCATTGCCAAGCATTTATTAATGTCAGGTCACAAAATCAATATTAATGACTGTTTCACAATTATTTCACATAACTCTAATTCAAGGTTGGTTACTGAAGGTGATGGAAGTACTTTGGATTAATCACATACATCCTAAATTATGTGAACAAAAAACAAAAGGCTTCAATCTTCGCCTACCCTGGACTACATGACCTATTTAAATATGATTGGTCGTTAGTATGTACTTTTGTGTTTTTATTTAACTGAGTAGTAGTCATGCCTTTTATTTTATTATTATAGTTGTCAACCATCTTAGTTGTAAAGCGGTTGTAAGGAAACTACGAAATGATATCATCTCGCTTGTTGATATATATCAGTGAAAAGTTTGAGCATTGTGGATTAGATCAAATAAAGTATAATTATATTTCAATAGTTTACATACAATGATGGTGGAACAGAGAAAACACTGGGCTGAACACTTCAAAAGACTTCTAAATCGTCCGCCACCTACAACACGTCCAGCAATACCAACAACGGAAGCAGAACTACCAGTGAACACTGACCCCCCGACGAAATCAGAAGTCCTGAATGCAATCAAGATGCTTAAAGCTGGGAAAACACCGGGACCAGATGGAATCCCAGCAGAGGCTTTGAAAATAGACCCAGAGACAACAGCGGACTTGATGACACCACTGCTGGAGAAGGTGTGGAAAGAGGGCAAAGTACCCGAGGATTGGAAGAACAGTTACTTATTCAAACTTCCAAAGAAAGGAGACTTAAGTCAATGTAAAAACTGGCGTGGAATTATGCTTCTGTCCATTCCAAGCAAGATACTAAGTCGCATCATCCTGGAGAGAATCAAACAAGCCCTAGATGAAAAACTTCGTCCGGAACAGGCTGGATTCAGGAGAAACAAATCATGTATTGATCAAATCGCCACTCTACGGATCATCATTGAACAAAGCTTGGAATGGCAGTCACCTCTCTATCTCAACTTCATCGACTTTGAAAAGGCCTTCGACAGCGTCGATCGAGAGGTCATTTGGAAACTACTTCGCTACTACGGGGTCCCATCGACAATTATACACCTCATCCAACAGTTATACGACAATGCTGCATGCCAAGTAATCCACAACGGGAAACTTACGGAAGCCTTCGAAGTGAGGACGGGAGTGAGGCAAGGCTGTCTACTATCACCAATGATCTTCCTGATTGCAATTGATTGGATAATGCGACAGACAACGGCAACCAACGAGGGAACAGGCATAAAATGGACTGACACAAAAGACTTGGAGGATCTGGATTTCGCCGATGATATATGTCTGATTTCCCATAAACTGGAAGATATGCAAGTGAAAAGTAACAAGTTGGCAGAAGAAGCATCAAAGATAGGACTTCACGTGAACATAGATAAAACAGAGATAATGAAGATTCCTAGCCAACATCAACAACACCAACAGACCACAATAAGCATAAATGGGAAGAACCTGAAAGAAACAACCTCCTTCACCTACCTGGGAAGCATCGTCTCAACTACAGGCGGAACTGACGAGGACATCAAAGCCAGAATCGGAAAAGCAAGACAAGCTTTCATTACTCTCAAATCTGTGTGGAGGTCAACAGCAATCAGCATCAAAAATAAGATCCGGATTTTCAACTCCAATGTGAAGTCAGTGCTACTATACGGATCAGAGACTTGGCGAGTCATAAAGAGCATCTCAAACAAACTTCAAACCTTCATTAACAACTGTCTCCGCTCAATACTCAAGATCAGATGGCCAGAAAAGATCAGCAACAGGGATCTCTGGGAGCGAACCAATCAGGAACCGATTGTGAAACAAATAGGCAGAAAGAAATGGAGATGGATTGGCCATACGCTGAGGAAACCATCAAGTGACATCACTAGACAAGCCCTCGAGTGGAACCCGAAAGGGAGGCGGCGAGTTGGTCGTCCAAGGGTGACTTGGAGGAGGTCATGCGAGGAGGAGATGAAAGCATGTGGACAGACCTGGAGCAGGGTGAAAAAGTTGTCAGAAAACCGAAGTCAATGGAGGTGCGCAGCTGAAGCCCTATGTTCCTCTAGGAACTAAAGGATACAATAATAATAATAATAATAATACATACAATGATAAGTTTTGTTATCGGTAATATTTCGAGAAAAATTACTACCCGTGTTCACACCACCTCTGTTGGAATTGTTTTATTCACACATTTATGATTTGTACTCACATATATATAGTTCATTATTATAATTTTTTTGCTCATTCGTGTTTTTTGTATTCAGAATTATATTCCAGGTTGTTGACAGGTGTGCAGCAGAGTCACCCTTGTTACATGTATCCGGTGTGACTTTTAATGAATATTAATTCTGGTGTAAGAGTCTTTCTTTCCATTTGTTCATGTTAGTTTTTTTGGAATACACACATTGTTCCAATCGATATTGTGGTTTTTGTCCCATGCTGCATGTGCAGCTATCGATGAAATTTTTTTTTCAAGATTCTTATAAGCTTGTGGTGTTCCTGTTGGTTGACCCCTTTGGTTCGGCAGGCGTTTATGTACACTCACTCTTATTTTGAGTGATCTGGACGCGTTTGACGTACATATTTAGTCGGACAGTCACCACAAGATATTTTGTAAATCATATTGCTTTTATCCATTATTTTTATGGGATCTTTCGGTGGATTTATTTTATTTTTAATTAGATTCGTCGGTTTAAACGTAGTGCGCATTCGAGTATTGTTGAGGTTACTTTGAATTGCATCTGATGTACCATTTTTATGTGGTATTGTGACTGTTTTCTTTTTTTGCATTCTTCCATCTTGTTATTCTCCGGTTTAACCCTCTTTTTTCTCTTTTTTATATAATCTTCGACAAATTTTTTTGGTTTAGTTGTTGTCGAGTGGCATTTTGAATAGGATGTTTATTTCTTTACACTGGTCCTCTGGTGTTGTTGTAAGTCTACGTATTCTATCTGCAAGACGTTGTATTAATCCTCGTTTTACCGTGAGTCAATGAGCTGAGTGATGACAATCAAGGAATCTTCCAGAGTGTGTGGTGCCTGTGGTGTGTGTGCCTTTCTTTGCTTTTTCTCCTGAAAATCCTGTGATAAGTTGATATATTCTGTCAAAAAACTTGAGGATAATCGGGACGTATATGCCTAATCTTTCAAAAATGTGAACTGCCCATTTTAGAAAATTGGTCTAGTACAACAATTTCATTGGTGAGGAAGACTAATTAGTCAAACTTTTTTTTTCCTTCACGTTCCCCAGTGGAACATATGCCTTCAAGCTAGTGGCTTGAAGTTTCTGTAGCTGTGTTTATTTTACAGGATGGGGTCGTTAGCCTCACGCCCAAGCTTTCCTATTTACCAGCATTATTTCTGGCTTAGCGAGCGAGGTAAAGGAGTGCTACGTCAGCCGGGAATCGAACCCCGGACCATATGCATGGTCGGTAAGCGTCCTAACCGCTATGCCACTGACGCATTCAAAGTAAGTGATCAAAGTTAGACTATGGAAGTTAGATGTGTGCGTTGTTGATGGTGGTTGGGGGGTAGACTATTCAACAACAGCATGCGCATTTGCTCTTCAAGGTTCAATTTCAGGCTGACACACATTCCTAAACCTGGTAGTAGTGGCAGTGGTCTGGTAAAGAGGGATGGTTGAGGCGTGAGGCTAGTATAACCTCATCCTGTTAGCCACACAATACAAGTACTACTAAGAAAATTCGAAGCATAAACACCTCACAGCCCTTTAAGTCCCATTCGGCATGTAAAAAGAAGAAGAAAGGGTAAGAAAATCTATAATATATATATAAAGTTGACACAGTGAAAAAGAACAAAAAACAACAAGAGAAAAATATAGAAGTACAAAGGCACTAAACCGTCAACAAAGTGTTTAAGCAGTTTAAGGCAGAAAATATAATTTGATAGGTACTCAAGATATTTGAAAATTTCACTCATTTCGCTGAAGACTTTCCAAGCACTGATTCTTCGGCATTCAAACTAACACATCCGATGACATCATCGATTTTTTTGTTCATGTTTTGTTTTTTGAAAACACTGTTCTATAGCTGGATCTCAATTTCAGTTAGCCTTTTTCATAATGAACGAAAGCGTTAACACTTAACTTGGGAATATTGTGCTAAGCCCACCCCCGCCCCCCACTAGTCAAATGATTTAAAAATAAAACTTTTTCTATTTAATTGATTCAAAGATTTCACTCATGAGCAGACATCACTTAGAGAACCATTGGAAATCCTAGTCCGAGACTCCTCATCAGTACGCAGTATGCTCAATAGCGACTGGCCATATTCAGGCAGTTAACCTTGGGGTTCGGTGAGAAGCCGCGACCAATAGGGTGCAGGAGGTTGAAGGTGAGGCAGTAACTCATCGAAGAGGACATTGCGAATTCGTCGCGCGCTATGTCATGAATTGGCAGAAATGGAATTCATAGGTGATTGGATCGGGTCCCAGTGGCTTAGAGGTCTACAAACCAGCTCGCTGGCCTTGTAACCAAAAGGTCCTGGGCCCGAACCCTGGCGTGGGTTCATACTGATGAAGAGTCCCGAACTAGGACGAAGAAGCTGTTTAGTACTCCCGACTGGTTTCTCAATGGTTCTCTATCTGATGTTAGCTTGTGATGAAGTCCTCCAACCAATCAAACGAAACTCTTACAAAAATAAAGCCGATACTTGAGAATTTTCTGTTTACTCTAATGCGGAGTAGCGTTTTTGATTTGATATAAAACAACGATGAATACATCAACGAGAGATGATGATATTCATACATATGCTGAAAAACGACATAATATACTACTACTTTTTGATCGAGATAAGTGATTGTATACCAATTACATCAACCAGTGGTGCTTGCTAGCCAGTCAAGCTCATCAGTGGAGTAACTGGTTTACTCAGCTCAGAGAAACGAATCAATTCAAGCCAGCTGATTTCTGACTGGCCACTTGGGGCAGGGTAAATCGCTAACTCTCTACCAAATCAAATTCGAAGTGAAACTTAGTCACAGTTCCCTTTCTCGAAACCAAAATTATTCAGATCACAATATGTGTGTGTGTGTGTGATCTGCTTGATACCATTTCGATCTCTGACGAGTTGGCAAGTACTACTAGTACTACTATTGTGGTGAGAGCTGGCTGCTAGCCAAAATTGGTAGATAGTAATTTACGTCAATGTTTACGTCCTCAATATTGATGTGAGAAAAATAAGAACAAAGACTGACTCAACAACCAATCACAACAGACTTTGCATAGGCGGATACAATTTGCAGACAGATAATCTGAACTTCAAGAAACAGCCAAAAAGAGATGAAAGATTAACGTTCAGTGAGAAACCACAAATCAGAAGACTGTGTTTGTTTGCTTACAATAATCTATAATAATGTACATGAAAATCTATAAATATCTGTTGACTAGCCTTGTCTTCTGTGGTTACACTATTACTGGTTTATGTGAATTTCAACAGGTAATCACTGGGGGTGGAATCCCACTCTCAAAGCGAATAATATCATTAGGTTTAAAACAATAGATATTACCTACATTTGCTAAGTTGGTTTCTAATTTTCAAACATCAGCACTAATTTGAAGTCAGTTGCTTAACCACTTTAGTTGATTAGTAGATTAAGCTATATACACCACAGTGGAAGAGAGCAGAAAAGGAGACTATATGAACCTGTATGGAATCATCATACACAATGGGATACACAATAAATAATTATGATCTGGAATCAGTGGTTTGCAGTATTATTATTATTATTATTCGTTTCTAGTGGGATGTAGAGTTTTAGCTGTGCATCTCTATTAAATTCACTTTGTTTTTTCTGTCGTCACTTTCACAACCAGTTCCACCACGAACATCTACATGTCTTGACATCTTCGTCACACGATCTACTGCATATCATATAACCGTTTGTTTATTTCCACAATTTTTGTTCTACTATAGTGAAGTATAATTTGAATCGATGGACTTTTATTTGACTCTTTATGCCTTTCTCCTACGAATGATATGATTCTACCTATCTAAATCGAAGAAGGTCATATATACCGAGAAGAAGAATCTATTTCATATGAATGTAAACATCAAATGATCAGAAAGAATTAGCAACAAGAAACTCTGGGGTAATACAACAACTAGGAACCGATTAATCAACAAATATCCCAAAGATAGTGGAGATGAATTGGAGACACGTTGAAGATATATCGCGTGTCAGGTCAGCTCTCGAGTGGGGCCCCCGTGGTTCAAAAGGAGGGAATCGTACGGCGAAGAGATGAGAACCTATGCAAAATCTCGGGGTCAACAAGAAAGGATCACAGAGAACAGCCCATAGTGGAGAGATGTGCTCTTGAAGCCCTAATTTCCACCCAAGGAAACAATAATAATAATAATAGTAATAATGTATTATTACTGCTAAAATAGGAAAGAAATCTTCATAAAATGTACAAAAGAGCAAAAGAATAAGCTCAAAACGACAACTTACGTGATTTAAAGCCATACTGAGGACAGGAGTAGTGTCTATTTCACAGTGAAATAACAATGGACTATCATACTCTGAGGAACAAAACTAAGAAGAAAACAAGGACGAATGCAAATTAATCAAATTTATATAAATGTTCAAGATTTAAAAAAACAAAGTACTGTAGCTAAATTTTGATATTTGCTTATTATTGTTTTAATAGGCGACTAGAAATCAGATAAACTATAGTTCGAGTTATCCTGTAGGTATTCGATTTCTTCCAAGTTTGACCGCGGATTGGTATCAGTTAGAGAACCATTGAAAACTAGATGGGAGTACTGGACAGCTGTTTCATGAAGCTCGTAGATCATTGGGCCGTTGCGATCCAACTCAGTGGGTTCCACCCTTTTGACAGTGAGGACAAATACTCACCGATAACACTGGCTAGTGTTTGCGCTAACATTAGCTGTCTTTGACCATAGATGCCTGCGTTCTATCTCCCGTGTGAAGTGATATAATAAGCTGAGCAGTATTCAGGTTAGGTATCGGTCGAGTGCTAGGTAGGGAGGGGAAATCAATCGAGGAGGCTGTGAAACTACATCGACTGAGATGGTTAGGACATATGTTACGTATGCCTAGTCATCCATCGCCTTCCTCGACGGTCAATGTTAGCTGACATAGGGTCCAGGATGGAAAAGAGCTAGCGGCGGTCAAGCCAAAACATAGCACCTGTCAATAAAATCCATGACAGTTAGTTTAAGCCACGTAGGAAGATGTAGACTTTTTGGTTGGAGTCCTCAGGACGGTTAAACCCAATGGTTGGAAACAATTGGTGATATGGCTCAAAATCGTCCTCAATGGCGCAGATGCATCCACTCCTTGTGACTTATGATTTCCAATGAAACTATATTGTTCTTCATTAGTACTACTTCTTTGTCTCACGCCTCTTTTTACTGTCTCTATTATGCATTTATTCTACTTTCTTCTGTTGCTTTGTGTGCTATTTGGAGGGAGTGTGGCGACTTGAAATGGTGCACATCGGTGCAAAGTTCTGTGTCGAAAACAGACAGACAGCTAACATTACGAATTAGTAGACGACGGAATTCAAGATGATTGGCCTACAAACTCATCTTGCGTCCGACTCTAATGGATGCGTACTGCCAGTAGATTCCAAACTAGGACGACATAGCTAATCAGTAGTACTCTTCAGTTTCCAGTGGTCGCCTAACTGATATCAATCCGTCGTCTGGGCTTTACAACTGCTTAAGTCTTACTACTCTCAGCATCATATAATTAAGTCGACTGCTAGCCATTTCTTGTGTGCGCGCGCAGCCTAATCCATTGCAAGTTGGCTATTTCAAGATTATTGAAGAAGACATCACAAATATACATACTATTTACGAATTCACTGTTAGTATCATATGACATGACATAAAAATACTTGCTATCACCTACATAATAGTCACAGCTTAACTTTTATAGGTTGATCATCTTTATGTAAACAAGTGTGTTTAACCTAAGTAAGAAAAATGACTACAAAATATACACTGAGGGTAAAAAAAACAAAAAAAAAACACTAACATTTCATGGTCAGGTGATATGATTATTAATCTTTGACTGACTTGCGCATCTAAGATATGATTTATAGTGTATAGTGTATAACTATTATTTTATAAAGGTGTTGCCAGTTGAATATAGTTGGTGAGACAGAAATTTCTCTTATGAGAAGGTTATAATTAATACTAAATGACATTATTTGAAGAAGTATTCAAAAGTACAGATAGATGACCCATTTTCAGAAGATATATATATATATATGTGCTAAAATTCACAGTATACGTGACATATAAACCAGATATTCAAAATATTAGTTATGTACAATACCTATAATGAACAGCTCTGAAGTTTTAGCTTGATTTCGACATGGATCACACATTAACTTCAGTTAGAGAACCACTGGAAACCATGCAGTACCCAACAATCGTTTCATCCTTGTTTGGGGCTCTTCAGTAGTCGTTAGCTCAAAACACTAAGGGTACAAGACGAGCTCGTATACTATTCAGGCACAGACAAACTAACTTCTAGTAATTCGCAACACTTAGCGCCAACCACCAACCAGTGTAGTGTGTCATCCATCAGCGAGTATCTATCCTCCTCACATCCAACATGAGGGATCCCGCTGGTCATGGAACTCCGGCTAACTTCATTCTGTAGTAGTCAGTCACCAGTAGGCATTAGAAAACTTCCAACCTTTTCATTCTCAAGGACTTGATTGATATGAAGAGTGGTCACGCACTGACTTATCGCGGGATTCCGTTCCAATAGTTCAATGGTATACGATCTCGCCTAGTAATTCAAAGATCCTAAGTTAGATCCCTGTTTTGGTCATGGGCGCGAACTACCGAAGAAGACCAGACGAAGATGAGGCTGTGAAGCTAAATTGACTGAGATGGTTAGGACATATGTTACGTAAGCCTAGGCATCCATTGCCTTCCTCGACGGTCAATGTTAGCTGACATAGGGTCCAGGCTGGAAAAGAGCTAGCGGCGGTCAAACCAAAACATAGCACCTGTCAATAAAATCCATGACAGTTAGTTTAAGCCACGTAGGAAGATGTAGACTTCTTGGTTGGAGTCCTCAGGACGGTTAAAACCAATGGTTGGAAACAATTGGTGATATGGCTCAAAATCGTCCTCAATGGCGCAGATGCATCCACTCCTTGTGACTTATGATTTCCAATGAAACTATATTGTTCTTCGTTAGTACTACTTCTTTGTCTCACGCCGCTTTTTACTGTCTCTATTATGCATTTATTCTACTTTCTTCTGTTGCTTTGTGTGCTATTTGCAGGGAGTGTGGCGACTTGAAATGGTGCACATCGGTGCAAAGTTCTGTGTCGAAAACAGACAGACAGCTAACATTACGAATTAGTAGACGACGGAATTCAAGATGATTGGCCTACAAACTCATCTTGCGTCCGACTCTAATGGATGCGTACTGCCAGTAGATTCCAAACTAGGACGACATAGCTAATCAGTAGTACTCTTCAGTTTCCAGTGGTCGCCTAACTGATATCAATCCGTCGTCTGGGCTTTACAACTGCTTAAGTCTTACTACTCTCAGCATCATATAATTAAGTCGACTGCTAGCCATTTCTTGTGTGCGCGCGCAGCCTAATCCATTGCAAGTTGGCTATTTCAAGATTATTGAAGAAGACATCACAAATATACATACTATTTACGAATTCACTGTTAGTATCATATGACATGACATAAAAATACTTGCTATCACCTACATAATAGTCACAGCTTAACTTTTATAGGTTGATCATCTTTATGTAAACAAGTGTGTTTAACCTAAGTAAGAAAAATGACTACAAAATATACACTGAGGGTAAAAAAAACAAAAAAAAAACACTAACATTTCATGGTCAGGTGATATGATTATTAATCTTTGACTGACTTGCGCATCTAAGATATGATTTATAGTGTATAGTGTATAACTATTATTTTATAAAGGTGTTGCCAGTTGAATATAGTTGGTGAGACAGAAATTTCTCTTATGAGAAGGTTATAATTAATACTAAATGACATTATTTGAAGAAGTATTCAAAAGTACAGATAGATGACCCATTTTCAGAAGATATATATATATATATATATGTGCTAAAATTCACAGTATACGTGACATATAAACCAGATATTCAAAATATTAGTTATGTACAATACCTATAATGAACAGCTCTGAAGTTTTAGCTTGATTTCGACATGGATCACACATTAACTTCAGTTAGAGAACCACTGGAAACCATGCAGTACCCAACAATCGTTTCATCCTTGTTTGGGGCTCTTCAGTAGTCGTTAGCTCAAAACACTAAGGGTACAAGACGAGCTCGTATACTATTCAGGCACAGACAAACTAACTTCTAGTAATTCGCAACACTTAGCGCCAACCACCAACCAGTGTAGTGTGTCATCCATCAGCGAGTATCTATCCTCCTCACATCCAACATGAGGGATCCCGCTGGTCATGGAACTCCGGCTAACTTCATTCTGTAGTAGTCAGTCACCAGTAGGCATTAGAAAACTTCCAACCTTTTCATTCTCAAGGACTTGATTGATATGAAGAGTGGTCACGCACTGACTTATCGCGGGATTCCGTTCCAATAGTTCAATGGTATACGATCTCGCCTAGTAATTCAAAGATCCTAAGTTAGATCCCTGTTTTGGTCATGGGCGCGAACTACCGAAGAAGACCAGACGAAGATGAGGCTGTGAAGCTAAATTGACTGAGATGGTTAGGACATATGTTACGTAAGCCTAGGCATCCATTGCCTTCCTCGACGGTCAATGTTAGCTGACATAGGGTCCAGGCTGGAAAAGAGCTAGCGGCGGTCAAACCAAAACATAGCACCTGTCAATAAAATCCATGACAGTTAGTTTAAGCCACGTAGGAAGATGTAGACTTCTTGGTTGGAGTCCTCAGGACGGTTAAAACCAATGGTTGGAAACAATTGGTGATATGGCTCAAAATCGTCCTCAATGGCGCAGATGCATCCACTCCTTGTGACTTATGATTTCCAATGAAACTATATTGTTCTTCGTTAGTACTACTTCTTTGTCTCACGCCGCTTTTTACTGTCTCTATTATGCATTTATTCTACTTTCTTCTGTTGCTTTGTGTGCTATTTGCAGGGAGTGTGGCGACTTGAAATGGTGCACATCGGTGCAAAGTTCTGTGTCGAAAACAGACAGACAGCTAACATTACGAATTAGTAGACGACGGAATTCAAGATGATTGGCCTACAAACTCATCTTGCGTCCGACTCTAATGGATGCGTACTGCCAGTAGATTCCAAACTAGGACGACATAGCTAATCAGTAGTACTCTTCAGTTTCCAGTGGTCGCCTAACTGATATCAATCCGTCGTCTGGGCTTTACAACTGCTTAAGTCTTACTACTCTCAGCATCATATAATTAAGTCGACTGCTAGCCATTTCTTGTGTGCGCGCGCAGCCTAATCCATTGCAAGTTGGCTATTTCAAGATTATTGAAGAAGACATCACAAATATACATACTATTTACGAATTCACTGTTAGTATCATATG